TTTCAGGCGACCCTAGTCAAAATCAATTTTGTCACTTTTTTCTTCGAGGGTTTATCCAAATGAATTTAAACATTGCATTCATATTCTAGTGCCTTAATTATCTTAAATTTTTTTGAGCAAAGAACCAAGTAGGAAATACATTTTCAATTTTGGACCAGGGGCGACCCTAGTCAAAATCAATTTTGTCACTTTTTTATTCGAGGGTTTATCCAAATGAATTGAAACTTTGCATTCATATTCTAGTGCCTAAAACATCTTAAATTTTTTTGAGCAAAGAACCAAGTAGGAAATACATTTTCAATTTTGGACGAGGGGCGACCCTAGTCAAAATCAATTTTGTCACTTTTTTCTTCGAGGGTTTATCCAAATGGATTGAAACTTTGCATAAATATTCTAGTGCTTAAAACAAATACAAAAAAAACATCTTAAAATTATTTTGAGCAAAGAACCAAGTAGGAAATACATTTTCAATTTTGGACTAGGGGCGACCCTAGTCAAAATCAATTTTGTCACTTTTTTCTTCGAGGGTTTATCCAAATGGATTGAAACTTTGCGTAAATATTCTAGTGCTTTAAACAAATACAAATAAAACATCCTAAAAATTTTTTGAGCAAAGAACCAAGTAGAAAATACATTTTCAATTTTGGACTTCGGGCGAACCTAGTCAAAATCAATTTTGTCACTTTTTTCTTCGAGGGTTTATCCAAATGGATTGAAACTTTGCATAAATATTCTAGTGCTAAAACAAATACAAATAAAACATCCTACAAATTTTTTGAGCAAAGAACCAAGTAGGAAATACATTTTCAATTTTGGATTTCAGGCGACCCTAGTCAAAATCAATTTTGTCACTTTTTTCTTCGAGGGTTTATCCAAATGAATTTAAACTTTGCATTCATATTCTAGTGCCTTAATTATCTTAAATTTTTTTGAGCAAAGAACCAAGTAGGAAATACATTTTCAATTTTGGACCAGGGGCGACCCTAGTCAAAATCAATTTTGTCACTTTTTTATTCGAGGGTTTATCCAAATGGATTGAAACTTTGCATAAATATTCTAGTGCTTAAAACAAATACAAAAAAAAACATCTTAAAATTATTTTGTGCAAAGAACCAAGAAGGAAATACATTTTCAATTTTGGACTAGGGGCGACCCTAGTCAAAATCAATTTTGTCACTTTTTTCTCCGAGGGTTTATCCAAATGGATAGAAACTATACATAAATATTCTAGTGCTTAAAACAAATACAAATAAAACATCCTAAATTTTTTTTGAGCAAAGAACCAAGAAGGAAATACATTTTCAATTTTGGACTAGGGGCGACCCTGTATTCTATATGTCGTCGAACCCAAATTTCATAAATTTGGTTGTACATTCAAAAACAACGTGACATAAATTTTGGCCAAAAAATGATTTTTATAAATTCAGAAATGTGTGATTTGAGGATTAAAATGCTCATGCAAAGTTTTAATGTATTTGGATTTATCCTCGAAGAAAAAAAAGTGAATAACTAGATTTTGACTAGACTTGTCCCAAGTTCATAATTGAAAATGTATTTCCTATTTGGTTCTTTGCTCAAAAAAAAAAATTAGGATGTTCTATTTGTATTTGTTTTAAGCACTAGAATATGTATGCAAAGTTTCAATCCATTTGGATAAACCCTCGAAGAAAAAAGTGACTCAAAAAAATTTTAAGATGTTTTATATGAATTGACACAATTCTGACATAAATCACATACCAATATTACTTTTTGTAATGCATAGCTTAAAAAAAATCGAAATCTAAAATTTCGACTACCCCATCTGAATTTTGTACATACTCTTCACTGTGGAAACCAAAAAACAAATTCTTTATCTTAAAACACTTGACAAAATAGCGACATAATTCAGGATTAATTACTTTTTAATAATATTATAACATTTACGAGAAAATGTGGTTCAAATAAGTGTGAAGTATGGCCGAGATTTGGACCAAAATCAGCTATACTGGTTCATAGTGTTCCCGAGGGTGACAAACTTCAAACTAAGTGTTTTTGTAGCTGATATAATTATAATATAAATTAGGTATAACTTTTGAACTGTGTCGATATGGGTCTCGGCCGTACTTCATGCCCACCCTTCAAACTTATGCTGAGCAAATCTTGGTCTATCCATAAGACTTTTGATGGTAAGGTGTGAATATATCCGCATTGGGTTTCTACCCGATACACTAGTTGTGATTTATCGTTATGACAATCTACATTATAAAAGCCCAATTCACTGATTCACTGACTCTAGAACGGAAGCAATGTGAAGCTATTTGTGAAGCCGTGTGAAGCCAAAAATTTAGAAGTGTTGACAGAAGTGATGAAGTTTTGTGGAGCCATTTATTAAGTTTTTGTGGGATTAAGGTAATCTGAGTTTGAGGGGGTTGTGAGGCCATGTGAAGTTTTGTGGTAGGATTGACCTTTAAAACATTATGCTTATTTGCGTATAACAGTTATTTACATAAAAGTAATCAAATTTAAACCCTGATAACAGGCGCCACAGGCGTCTCTCATTAGCCTAGTTTATAATATGCATCTTTGAAAAATTCAAATTTCAAAAATACTTTTTTAAAACGTATTAGGAAAATAAAAGCTCAAGTTTTTCGGAGTCGTAAATTTACATCAGATGAATTGATTTATCTTCTAATTTATAATCATACGCATAGATGAAACAAAAAGTTTTTTTGACATTCAATTTTCAATTCTACGGATGCTGAAGAAAATTTGATTTTTTTCTAAAGAATTTCTCCTTAATTAAAGCATAAAAAAGACATTCTTTTTAATTTATTTGTAATGATTTTAATGAAACACAACAGCTGAAAAGGATATATAAGGTACTTTAGAGGAAAGCAATCAAAGAAAAGTGAATTCTTTGTGTGAAGTTTTCAACAATTCATGTGTAGAATTGCTTTAAAGGAAAAAATTTGAAATAATTTCAAATAATTTTCAAGGATTATAAGTCCAGATAAAAAATGTACCTGGACTTAAAAACCTCTCGTGCAGTTTATAATACCAGCCGTATCTGTACCTGGACTTATGAACTGCACGTGAGGTTTTTAAGTCCAGGTGCAATTTGAATCTGGACTTATAAACCTTTATTGATTTTAATTTTCTGGACTTATAATTTTCTGTGCATGATTTTTGTATCTGGACTTGTAAACCAGCATCGTCTTTTGTCACTTAATTTTTGATTTATTTTACGGATTTTGCTTTATTTGATTCATAATTATGATTTATTCGGTGTTTTGAGATGCAAGACGACCGTTCAAGTTTGTTTGCAACTTTCCGACGTAGTCTTCGATGGACGGTATTTTCGCTTTTGTATAAAGATCGGTGATCCTTTCATATCTTGTTTTATTGAGAACAATTCTCAAGAATTAGTTTTGCAGTACTTGAAGTTTTTGAAGGTGGTTTTTTGCCATGCTTCCAAATGCTGGACAAACATATGTGAATATTGGTCTGATGGCTATCTTGTAGATTAGAAGTTTGCTTCGTACGTCGAGCTGTGTGTTCCTGCTGATGAACGGATAAAGCTGTCTTAATGCGGTGTGAGCCCTATTGATCACATATTCCACATTCAGCTTTAATGTCACTCTCTTGTCGATCACCATTCCTAGATATTTAGCTTCTGTTTCCCAATTGATGTTTTCGTTGAGAAATTTGATGTTATTTCCTAGAAGTTGCCTGGAGTGCCTGTTTGTGATGAATAAGGCTTGAGTCTTCTGTTCGTTGAGGTTGATCTTCGATTTGTTCATGTATTGTTGAACTTTTCTTCCTGTGTGCTGTAGATGTGTCACAATATCGGCCGAGTTCTCTGCAGAATGATACAGTGCTGTATCATCTGCGAAAAGACCAATGTTATTGGTTGTCTCTCTTACAACATCATACGTGAAGATGTTGTAGAGAGTTGGTAAAAGCACTGCTCCTTGTGGCACTCCGAATTTGATTACCTTGATTTCTGAGAACTGACCTCTAATAAAAACTGTGAAAGATCTTTCACTGAGGAAAGATTTTACAGTTTTTATAAAAGGCAGTGGAAATCTCAGTTTGAGCATTTTGTACAAAAGTCCGTTATGCCAGACTCTGTCAAATTTTTTCTACATTCAGGAAGATCATGCCTGTTGTTTGCAAAAAACAGATTTCGAATTGTTCGAGGCATTGCTGAGAAAATCGCAAAATACGCTTTCTGTAACATACAAGCAAGAAAGCAAATTAATCAGCAAGAAATCTCAATAAAGAGACATTGTAGATACTTCTAGTTTTTTACATTTAATCCGTGCTGCTCTATAGAAGAGAGAGCTGACTCGCTCTCTTTATAACTTCAAACTTATGCTGAGCGAAGCTCAGCTGCCTCGGGTAGCTTTATACTTTCAAACTTATGCTGAGCAAAGCTTATCTGACTCGTCTAGCTTTATACCTTCAAACTTATGCTGAGAAAAGCTCAGCTGACTTTCTTGCTTTAAACCTTCAAACTTATGCTAAGCGAAGCTCAGCTGACTCGGGTAGCTTTATACTTTCAAACTTATTAAACTGACTCGCTTGTTTTATAGCTTCAAACTTATGCTGAGCAAAGCTCTGCTGACTAGTAAGCCTTATACCTCCAACCTTATGCTGAGCAAATCTTGGTCTATCCATAAGACTTTTGAATGGTGTGAATATATCCGCATTGGGTTTCTACCCGATACACTAGTTTTCATTCATTTTATTCCCTGTAAATCATTCATAAATAGCCCAAAAATTATACTAATATAATTATATACTAATAAATTAGAATAAAATGGATTATATGGAAATAAAAATAGAAAAATCTCTGTTAAGGACCAAAAGTAAACACTTTATTCTCCAAAAATATTGATTCAACATTATAATATTTTGTTTAAAAAAAGCATAAAAAACAATTACAGTTTACAACATAAATTCAATTGTGCTAAGTAATAAATTGTTTTTATGCACATTATTTCCATTACTTTAATCATGATGATTTTAATAGATTACTTTCTTGTGGTCCAATTGGTCGATAAGCTAAACGTCTAAGGCATACCGATGTATTGCTAAGGTTTGTTTTGCATGAAGAAATACATACGTTACCGGAATATAAAAAATAATACATTGGGAATTACTGCAGAACGCATATTGAATTGATTTTGTTTTTTATAATTTTTAAATTGCTCATGTAATATTTCATATGTTGAAGTATAAAAGATACTATGTAGTATGAAGCCCTATTCATGATTCTTTAGAAGTGAAATGACTTTAAACATTTGATTTTCTTTTAATAAGCAATATTCTATGCGATGCACAATATATCATCCAACCAACATGTTGCGTAAAAAATTAGATTATCAATACTTGACAAATACATTTTTCCTTTATAAAAAGTTTATGGCATAAAAAGAAAATATATAAAACTATATTTTTATTTAATATGTATAAATGACGGATTTAATCGTTTTAAATATGATTCATAAAATTTTATACGATACGAAAAGATAAATGGGTTTTGATGTTTCTAGCTTTAATTATTACACATCAATTATAAATTGGGGTTAGAATTTAATGAGGCACAAACATAGTTAATCTTTTTAATGTAAAGAAAAAAATAAGTGATAAAAACAGGATAATTTTTTAATGAAAGTAGCAATAATGTTAGGAGCGAATATACATATATTGATGCATAAATAGGTTGAAATAATTCAAAATAATTATTTTTTGTCCTTCCTTTAAAAGAAAAATCAGTTAGTAAAAACAAATAAAAAACTGTTAAAGCATTAAAATGAAATAATGATGATAAGATAATAATAAAAGCCAGATAAAAAAAAAAAAATATTTTTTAAAAGCAATGTATTAGTGAGAGAAAGAAACATTCTGTCGAATGAGGAACTTTACCAGTCCTTTTCAACTTTTAGACTCCATTCCCATTTTAAATGTTCAGTTTTATCATCATCAGTAAACAGGCTAGAAACAATGTATTCTCCCCGAGATAATAATCCACTTGGAGCTTCCTCAAAGTTCGTGACATAGCATTGAATTTCGTCTTTTGGAGGATAAGAGCCGACCTGTTAATTAATCAACAATGTTTATATTCAAAGTAAATGAATTTATTTTTAATAAATTATTACCATATGCGTCATTTTATCAACTGTAACTCCAAGACGAGAAGTCTTTTGAACATACTTTAATCCATGAACTATTTCTCGTTGAACAAAAAATTCTATTCGAATCTTGTATTGACAACCTTCTTTGATTATAAACGATTTCTGTCGCAATTTTGTCAAATCACCAGAAAGGTCTAGTTCCAAATCATCGCGTCCTTGTACAACAAGTGCCAATTTCTTTACTATTACATTCTTTGGATTATTAGGATCGACTATAATTTTATCAGCTTGAGATCCAAGCAAGGCTTCCTTATATTTTCGAAGACTTTCATCCTCATTATCTAAAGCCAATATTTCCTCAATGGTTTTTTGAGCTGGAGCTTTATAATTCTCGTCATGTTCCTCCTCTTCATGGAGTTTGTTTTCGTTTTCAGCAGACATTCTTTGAAAAAAAATTTTTATGATATCATGTATGAGTCATAAAAACACAAATTTTTGGATTTTTCTGATTATTTACCACACCGGATGATATTATTTTAACTTCTTTACACTGCTATTTACCTTAATTTCTCAAATGTTCAACCCAAAAGGTCAAATTAACTTTAATAATATTTTAATCACAATAAGAACAAAATGTAGCAAAAAAATAGAGAACTTTTGAACGATTGCAATTTTTATATTCACACCGCTTCCACGTGTGAATCTATTGGTTTTGTTCAGATTGAAAATTCAGTTTTTCGCATTTTGTGAGGAAACGAAGCAAAATTGGTTATAAAAGGTCCGAGAAGAAAAAATTGTGCCTAATATTTTACATCTTATGCAAAAAATGGATTTCAAATTGGTTACGGCATTGCTGAGAAAATCGCAAAATACGCTTTCTGTAAGCAAGCAAACAAGCATGCAAGTTAATCAGCAAGAAATCTCAATAACAAGACATCGTACAGAATTCTAGTTTTTTACATTTGATCCGTGCTGCTCTATAGAAGAGCTGTATTGTTTTTGGGCAAGGTAGGAACATCCGTTGCTTCAGAAAAAGCAAATAACTTTCCTCTCTTACGAATTTTTCAAAACAAAAGTTTACTGTGATTCTTATAAAATTCAACTTTGGAACTTTTAAAGAATGTTCGTGAAGCTTTAAACTGCTTTAAACCTTCAAACATATGCTGAACGTAGCTCAGCTGACTCTCTAGCTTTATATCTTCAAACTTATGCTGAGTGAAGCTCAGCTGCCTCGCTAGCTTTATATCTTCACTTATTACGTAACGCGAAAAAATGACTTCTTAGACCCCCCCCCCCCCTCGTAACAAAATTTGTATGAAAAAAAATTTCCTTGTTTGAATCGTAACAAAATCTTAGACCCCCCCCCCTCCCCCTAAAAGCGTTACGTAATAAGTGAATGGCCCCATATGCTGAGCGAAGAAAGTTGACCTATCAAGCTTCATACCTTCAAACTTATGGTGGGAAAATCTTGGTCTATCCATAAGACTTTTGATGGTACGGTGTGAATATAATCCGCATTGGGTTTCTAACCGATACACTAGTTTTTTTTTATATTTCGAAAGATTTAAAAATATTTCGACAGTTGATGACATAAACAGTGGGTCCTCAATCTAAATAGATGTTTAATTTTAGAAAAAATCTTGTCCAAATAGAACCTATTCAAATCGAGGACCTCCTGTTTTGTTGTTATTGTCAGATATTGTTTTCAAAAAGATATAATTCATTCCAGCAACATATTAAAATATATACAGTTCAAATGTCAGCAGAATCTCCTCAAAGAGTAAGCATAATGTACAGTTACAATACTCGATTAATTCTTACATCAACAATCTTGTTGAATAGAACTTAAGATCAAATACCAAGGATATTAGAAGACGTAAATCCATTCATGAAAATGAGCCAGACATGAGAGATAAATCACCATTCGTACAATCTCAATATCAAAAGGAATACAGCAAATCGCCAGTCCGAAAGGAAAATTTGTATCCAGATTTAAAGCATTTGATAAATGAAAGTGTTGATGATATAACTAATGAAGACCATATTGAAGAAGAGAGTTTGGAACATCTGGACATAAGTGTATCGATTGAATGTCAGAAAACAAGTTACATGCCAGTTGTGCTTAGTTCAGTATTATTTGTTGTAGTAGCTGTATTATTTTGGTTAACATTAAGTCTCGGAAACGACCAAAAATCTTTTGCACATAGAGAACTTATCAACTGTTCACAATTTAATGATTTAAAAGCAAAATATCCTCAACAGAATGCAAAAATTTTCAATTCCCTTAGAATTTCGATTGAGGGAGTTTTTAATAGAAACTCTAGACCTGCAGTTTTTACGTTTTTCTCTACAGATCAAAAAATTCTTCATGATTTAATGAGCGATGTTGTGTACATGACGCAAAACTGCATAAGGCAATCGTATGAACCAATAAATTTGACATATTCAGATTTAAATAAAGAAAAGTTTCTCAACGATTACACAAAAATCATTGGAGAATATAAGAATGAACTAGAGAAAAGAACTATTCTGGTTATTAATAACTTGGATGAATTTTCTCCAAAAATTGTTCCATCGCTGCATTCATTCACAGACACTTACAATCCATTAGTTCAAAAATCCATCATATACCTTTCAATTCGAGTGCCTCAAAAGCCGAACAATCCAGCAGATTATATATTTACTCATTTACAACACAAATGGAATGAATTGTCAACCAATATTAAAAATCCTCTCATTGCACGAGTTTTAGATCAAACGTTTTTCCTGGAACCAAGCTACTAAACTCGAATAATACTTTTTTTTTGATTTTAGAAAATGTTTACCTTTGTTTAAATTTGATTTTAATAATAAAAATGGCATATATATTTCATTGTGAATCATTGACTGTCTCTCTGTAAAAATTGTCTTTGTTTTGTAAACTAAGAGCTAGTAAATGAAAAGCTTAATTTATGACAAAAGCAGAACATATTTTGATAAGAAATATACCACACTTTATTTTACGTTAAAAATAAATTATAGAAGTTTAGAAAAATTCCAATATATGACAATGCCTTTTTTATTGCTTCTAAAGGCATTTCATGCAACATACATAATTTTAAATTAGATTTTGCAGAAAACAAGGTGTAATATAAAGCAAATAAAATGTATCAATAATAATAATAGTTTTTAGGCATTTCTTTTTTTTATCTTTCAAATAATTTCCTTAATTTCACAAATTTTCAATAACTTCACAGTCGTATTTCGATATGAGGATCAATCAATTTAATTTGTCCAGTACTAAGTAAAGACCTCCTTTCTTTGAAATAAAAATATTTTAAACGCAAATAATTAATTATTCGTCATATCGGACTGTTTCTTTCTGCATATTGGTTTGCCTATTCGGATTGCATGAAGAAAATAGTCTTTAGAATTAAAGCATGCAAGTAGTGATCTTTATTTTGTTAGTCCATCTTTGTCGATAAATTATTACTTCGTTTAATGAGCTGATGATTATGAAAATAGTTAATGTTTAAAATAGGTATCGATTTAATTTAATCAGTTTGTTTATCAATCATAACTTTTTGCAAACGTGCTTAAATCGCCGTTTTTGGTTTAGAATTGAAAATTTCCATCGCCAATCGTTTGATTTGTGAACTGAAACTCATTGTTTTGCGTAGACGGTGCAACCATTTGATCCTCCTCGTCATTTCCATAGTATTCTTGAAGTATACTATATGCTCTTTCATATATTTCAGTTTTCTCATGTGTTTGTAAAAATTCAATTTTGTCAAGACCTTTTTAGAAAATAAAGTAAGGTTCTTATGTTTAATGAAACAGGATGATTTTAAAGCTTTTGATCTTACCATAACATTCTTCAATAAGCACAGCATATGGATTAGGCTTTTGATAGGATTGTTCGCCTGATTTCAAAATATTTTCAAGTCCATTTAGAGCAACTTGCACAATATTTGCATCCATTACAGTAAGTAATTCACACATTGGAGGAATGCATCCGACGGAGACAAGATATTTGATTTGTTCAGCTGTCCCACCACTTGTTGAATTAGTTACTGCCCAGGCTGCCTCTTTCCTTGTTTTATACTCCGCTGTTCCTAATATTTTGATAAGAAGTGGGAAGATGTTTGCATCAATGATTGCCTGAATCTGTTGCATATTTCCAGCAGCTATATTGGAGATTGTCCAACATGCTTCTTTCACGATCGTATCTTTTTCCGAATTTAAAAGTTGGTAGAGTGCAGGAAGAGCATTACAATTAAGAATAACTTGTGTTTGCGCATCGTCACCCGTAACAATATTTCCGACTGCACGAAGTGCAGCCGATATTACATTACACTGTCTATGCCTATAAACATGGTATATTAGTTTCCATATAGTTCAGTGAAAAAATAATGAAAATTACCCTAAAAGCTCGACAAGTCTACGACATACTCCCGCATCAATAACAGCTTGTATTTTATTGTTTGGTCCGTCGCTTAAATAACTGAGTGCCCAACATGCATCACTTAGAACCTCATTATCCTCGTGATAAATAAAACGAGCCAAAACAGGTAAGCACTTTGATACTTTTTGAAAGTCTGGTGGAGGATTTTTGCCACGACAAAGATTTGATAAAGTCCACACTCCATTTCGGCACATGTTGAGTCGATTCGTTGTTTCAAGCAATTTCAAGAGTGGAGGTAAAATTCCCGAATCAAGGACCTCATCTCGATTTTTCGAACTGTCACCACTTATATTACCTGTTATTTTTAAGTGTATGAAATGACAAAAATTGAAAATTTTAAGGGGACAATGTACGAAGAATTAAATAAGAGAAATGAAATTAATTACCTAATGCCCAAACTACTTGTTCTTGCACATCATTATTTTGACTCGTTTCTAACAATTGCACGAAAACTGGTATGGCTTTTGCTTCCAAAACAATTTGAGTTTGCTGTGATGTTCCCGAGGCTATATTAGTCAAAGCCCATGCTGCTTCGAACTACAATATTTTATAAATTTATTAATGCACTTTAAATTTAGGAAAATTCAGACTTACCTGTAATGTTGTATTTTCGTGATTTTGTAAGAGCTCTACAAATCGTGGCACAATTCCTGTCTTAATTACTTCATCAATGGGCGGGTTTGGTTCTTTGGATAAGAGTTTTCTAAACTTTTGAGTAGCATTAAGCTGATCCATAACATTCGTGCTATACAAGGCTTGAACAGTTTCGTATCGAACTATTGATTGGTGAGTAGTTGGAATCTCTTGCATTCCTTCCATCGCCTGTCTATGATCCATAAGCATTTCAGAATTATCACCGTCATCATCATCATCAATTTGTGAATTAAGGTTTCGACGTTTAATCAATTGCTGTTCCCGTTTTTGCTTCCTCAATTGAATCCCTTCTTCCTCTCGTCTCCTTCTAAGTTCTGCACTATCTAGTCCGTGATTTTTGTATCGAGCAGCATTTCTTTGAATATTCATGTTTCTCTGTTGACTGTTTGTATATAATTCTAGTTAAAAGTCAAGAAAACTAGGCATTTATTAGGTAAAATATAAGAAAAATTTGCATCCTTAAAAATCGATGATTTTCATGAAAATTGATGGATTTTTTTTTTCATTATAAAATTAGTCGAAATTTAACCTTTCACTTTTTAATTTTCTACAAGTCTTTTGGATTCTCTCTAATATATTATTTATAAGATATCACTACTAGATATCCAAACATGATATCAGAACTTACTTTATATGGTAAAATTAAACGTCTAAGGATGTTAAAAAATCACACTTAATTCTTTTTACTGTGACGAAAAAAAAAATAACTAGGAGAAAAAAAGATGCATCAATTATCACGGATTATTTTGCATATGAGCACTTGAAATATAAATATTGACTGTTTCCATCCTTGTTCATTCATTACTTTCATTTCTTATAGAAATTTCAATATATTTAAGTACAATATTATACCTCACACATCATTTTACTATTATTAATTTGTAAAATTCGTATAAATCTTTAGCAGTTCTCGAAATTTTAAATTTTTTTGTGGACAAATCGAGTGTTTTACAATAATACGATAAAAGAAAGAGATTGTGAATCTTTTTTTCTCCAAAAAACGCTTCCAATTCAATTAATTCAATCTTTAGGATTTCATCCCAAATTAATAATAATTGAGTGAGGATAACTTAGTTCATTTCGAAATCAGCATATTAGAGACATAAAGCTCTTTTTAATACGTTAAATTAATTTCACAAAATTTATTTTTGCCGAAAAAGCTCCAAATAATTATTTAATTTTTGTGCATTATTGATTGAAAGTTAAGTGTATAATATCGTCAAAAAAAAGGTAAAGCAATTAAAATGTCTGAAAATCAGCAACAAGCAGACAGCAATTTGACCCCAAAAAAGGATTTCAACTCTCCATCAAGTCCAAGCCCTTCAAATATTCATCTAATGCCATCGCCAATTATTACACGGAGAAATAGAACCGCATCAACGTAAGTAAAATTTACCATGATATACATTCTATCTACATGCCTATATTTTACTGACTGGAACAATTTGACTATAAGAAAATTTTGAAGGTTAATTTCTTGGTATCCTTTTAATTGATTAGTTAAAGAAACGATATATTATTCTCTGGTTTTTCGTACGTGGACGAATATTGCCTATAAACAAACAACATAATAAAATGACACTTTTATGGGCGTCTTCAATGATAATTACTTTCTCATTTTCTTTGTTACTCTCGTTAGAAACATAAACATAGCTACCTCCTTCAAAAAAGTATTTGTATCTGGAAGTTATTTTTATCGTATGGGTAATTCCACAGATGTTTTTTTTTTGAAAAATCTGACTTTAAACCAATTTTTCTGTTTATAATAATAATAATCGTTTATTTAATTCAATGGTTTAAGGCGGAACAGAAATGACAATATTCTGATATTAAACTGTCGGGTTTAAATCAGATATTATACTGAAGGTAATTGATAAAATGACAAGAAGTTATGTAATGTGACATCTTGATATGTGTTCCAAAAAAAATTTAACAAAAAGACAAATATAAAAAAAAAATTACAAAAGTCCTAGTGTTATTGATCGAGGGACTTAAGCGCATTTTTGTGTTAGCGATCAGTATTTGATTATCTATTTATTTTGCGTTCATTTACAGATCATTAATGATCTTAATCTTGAATCTTAAAGATCATCAATGAATGCTTATACAGAAAGGCTTTGTTATTCAACGGTCAAAAAATAATTTGAAATCTTTCTCGCTAAAAGTTGCACTACGAAAACATTAGTTATAGTATAATTAAATAATTTGTTCCAATGAATTTCAATATATAAAAAGTTTATCATTTAACGATTATTTGAGATTCAAATTTTCTAACGGTCAGTATGTTTTTGAAAGCTTCCCGCCAAAAGATATACAAAAAATCATTAATTATAGTGTATTTATCAATTTAATATCTTTCATTCTCCTATATAAATTTTTTATCATTTAACGGTTTTCTGAAGTTCAAATTTTGTAACGGTCGTATGCATTTGAAAGTATCTTGCCAAAAATTACAGTAAAAGCATTAATTATAGTATAAATAACAGTCTGTTGCAAAAAAAATTTTCATATAGAAAGGCTTGGTAATTTAACGGTTTTTTGAGATTCAAAATTTTTCAACGGAAGAGAAGAGAATAATAAACAACAAGAAATAAATTCGAATTTCTAAACGCTCTCATCACGTGTTTTTTCATATGAAATATAAAAATCATTAATTATAGTACAAAAACACTGTTTCAAGACTTTTAAATGCGTTTCCCGAAAATAAAACAATGGACCTGAGCTAATAAAACAAACTAGAACTCTCTACGATGTCTAGTTAAAAAGTTTTTCTCCGCCCGAACGAACAGACAAAGTGAGATATTAAGCTACCTTTTAGAAACAAGTTTCAAAAATGCGTTAAAAAAAATAATGCATTTGTTTTAAGCACTAGAATATTTATGCAAAGTTTTAATCCATTTGTATAAACCCTCGATGAAAAAAGTGAGAAAATTGATTTTGACTAGGGTCGCCCCTAGTCCAAAATTGAAAATGTATTTCCTACTTGGTTCTTTGCTGAAAAAAATTTTAGGATGTTTTATTTGTATTTGTTTTAAGCACCAGAATATTTATGCAAAGTTTCAATCCATTTGTATAAACCCTCGAAGAAAAAAGTGAGAAAATTGATTTTGACTAGGGTCGCCCCTAGTCAAAATTTAAAATGTATTTCCTACTTGGTTCTTTGCTCAGAAAAATTTTAGGATGTTTTATTTGTATTTGTTTTAAGCACCAGAATATTTATGCAAAGTTTCAATCCATTTGTATAAACCCTCGAAGAAAAAATTGAGAAAATTGATTTTGACTAGGGTCGCCCCTAGTCCAAAATTGAAAATGTATTTCCTACTTGGTTCTTTGCTCAAAAAAATTTTAGGATGTTTTATTTGTATTTGTTTTAAGCACCAGAATATTTATGCAAAGTTTCAATCCATTTGTATAAACCCTCGAAGAAAAAAGTGACAAAACTGATTTTGACTAGGGTCGCCCCTAGTCCAAAATTGAAAATGTATTTCCTACTTGGTTCTTTGCTCAGAAAAATTTTAGAATGTTTTATTTGTATTTGTTTTAAGCACTAGAATATTTATGCAAAGTTTCAATTCATTTGGATAAACCCTCGAAGAAAAAAGTGACAAAATTGATTTTGACTAGGGTCGCCCCTAGTCCAAAATTGAAAATGTATTTCCTACTTGGTTCTTTGGTCAAAAAAATTTTAAGATGTTTTATTTGTATTTGTTTTAAGCACTAAAATATTTATGCAAAGTTTTAATCCATTTGTATAAACCCGCGAAGAAAAAAGTGACAAAATTGATTTTGACTAGGGTCGCCCCTAGTCCAAAATTGAAAATGTATTTCCTACTTGGTTCTTTGCTCAAAAAAATTTTAAGATGTTTTATTTGTATTTGTTTTAAGCACTAAAATATTTATGCAAAGTTTCAATCCCTTTGTATAAACCCTCGAAGAAAAAAGTGAGAAAATTGATTTTGACTAGGGTCGCCCCTAGTCCAAAATTGAAAATGAATTTCCTACTTGGTTCTTTGCTCAAAAAATTTTAGGATGTTTTATTTGTATTTGTTTTAAGCACTAGAATATTTATGCAAAGTTTCAATCCATTTGTATAAACAATAGAAGAAAAAAATGAGAAAATTGATTTTGACTAGGGTCGCCCCTAGTCCAAAATTGAAAATGTATTTCCTACTTGGTTCTTTGCTCCAAAAAATTTTAAGATGTTTTATTTGTATTTGTTTTAAGCACCAGAATATTTATGCAAAGTTTTAATCCATTTGTATAAACCATACCGGTGCTTTTATTCTGATTGAAGCCGAACGAGATTTTTTCAGTTATTCTTAAAATTTGGTGGACTGTGGAGTGACTGGATTTAAATCCACATTGTTACTTAATAAAGATGTTATTGTCGAACTCAAAATCATTAAGACGATTTTTTCAAAGCATTTGCCAAGACAGGAAAGGAGAGAAATCGGTCGAAAATCATCAGTTGAATTGCAATTTGTTTTCCCTTTAGAAATCTGCATAATCTTAGCAATTTTCCAACTTTTCGCAAAATATGAAAGCTTCATGCAGGAATTGAACAAATTGGTACATAATGACACGAACTGCGAGGAATCACTTAATACTTTTAGAGCACTATTGGGGATTTTGTCATGTCCAAAGGCTTTACGCGGATTTAAAGCTTGCATAACAAATTTGACGTCTTCTTCAGACACCAATTCCATGTAATGTCCAACAGCATTAAATGAGGACTGAAACGAACGAGCAAAGGCATTTGCCTTATTCTTTTCCGAGAGATGAGTTCCAGTCACAATGTCAATTCGTCGATTAGTTACAAGCGTTTGAAAATTCCAAGTCTGAAAACACGCAAATTTCAAAATGATTTACCTTATATGGTACTTTAGAGGAAAAAAAATCAGAGAAAAGTGAATTCTTTGTGTGAAGAATTGCTTTAAAGGAAAAAAAAGACTAAAAACCAAAAAGATGAAAATAAAATAAGATCACACTTTTAGCGAATCAGGATTTTAAAAGTTTTCTTGTGACATCTAGAAATGTAACATAAATTTTTTTCAAAAAATTGTGATTAAATCCAAGAACACAATGACTCTAAAAGCGTGGGGCTTTAAGATTTGACGCTTCTCTTACTTAAGAACTTAGTTGAACTAAGAAATTCATCCTTAAATTACGCCCCACGCTTTTAGAGTCATTGTGTTCTTGGACTTAATCACAATTTTTTGAAAAAAAATTATGTTACATTTCTAGTTGTCACAAGAAAATTTTTAAAATCCTGATTCGCTAAAAGTGTGATCTTATTTTATTTTCATCTTTTTGGTTTTTAGTCTTTTTGATAAAAGCGTGTTTTTTAAAAAGTTTTTTTAACGTTTTTTTATTTGCTCCTGTTTTGGTCGCTTGGTTTTTAGTCTTAAGAACAGATTTAACTTCAAGAAAAAATGTTATTTGTTTTTTAAGTCTTTGGGAAAAAGCGTGTTTTTTAAAAAGTTTTTTTAACATTTTTTTTATTTGCTACTTTTTAGTCTCAATCTTTTAATCGAATATCGACCACAACAATTCAAATTCAACTCCACTTCGTTTTACTCCGTTTCGTTCAACTGTTTATAGATTACATTTGTTCATTCATTTGTTTTATAGAATTTAAGTCATACCTGGAAACAGATGAAACTTCTTAAAAAATATCCTGAACTTCAATTATGTGCGCTTTCTGCGCTTTTAAAGCATTCATTAGTAAAGGACATTAAAAATGAATCTTGGAGATTTTGTGTTTATCTGTACCATTCCTACTACATAACGTGTGAATTATTAACATAAAGATGCAACTCACATCTATATGTAACGTATTTATAACGGATTTTTCAAATTTAATTCAATGAATGTCATTTGTATGTTATGCAAATATACTTCAAGCCGTTAATAAATAGAAAAGTAAATTTAATTAAGTTGGTGAAGTTTTATAAATAATGTAATACATTAAAAACAGCATAAATATATGCTCAAACTATGTGTGCTAAATGCATATCTCATATTTTAATAGTTATTTTGCATTAATTCGTAACGGACTTGTGCTTAGCGGTTTTTTTGAAAATTCAAATTTTCACTTACGAATATTCATGAAAAAATTACATGTCAATTTTTTTTTCTTACCAGAATATCTTTAGCTGCTCAAATTTATAGTATAATTAATATTTAGTAATATTAATTAAACTATAATGAATCATATAAATGACTTTTAAGCATTTCAAGTATAATATTTTAAACAAATCAAAATTTTATATCATTGACATTGGATTGTTTTCCCATATAAAAAAGTTTTACTTAAATTGTACTATTATTAAGCATTTTTGTGGTTTCAAAGTGTTAAAATATTGTATTGTCACCGGGAATACGTGTGCATTAAAAATTTGAGCTCGATTGGAGCAGTAGAAGTGGTCGAAAAATCGATTGCAAGTTTTGAACGTGACAAAGAAACCAACAGACAGAGCAACTCAATAAAAAGCGTGTAATAAAAAATTAAAATAATTTCCAAGGGTTATAAGTCCAGATATAAAATGTACCTGGACTTAAAAGCCTCTCGTGCAGTTTATAATTCCAGCTGTATCTGTACCTGGACTTATAAACTGCACATGAGGTTTATAAGTCCAGTTGCAATTTGTATCTGGACTTATAAACCTTTATTGACTTTGATTTTCTGAACTTTTAATCTCTGGACTTATAGTTTCTGGACTTATAACCCAGCATCGAAAATGATTACGGCTTTTGACTAATAAGTTAACCGATTGCGAATAATTATAACGGAGAACGAACAACTTTTTCTTTCGAGTTGAACTTTTCAACGCTGAGAAGATTATTGAGGAAATAGAACTTACAGTCTCGTCGATCTCGTCATGAGAAGACAATTGAGTGAAAATTAGTGGATGGCAATTGGACTCAACCAGTTTACGAAACTTTGGCCAGCTGACTTTAGAAAAATCCAAATGATCTGACTCCTGTTGGAGAGTATTTCCACGGAGTGAAAAAAGCAGAGATCGAAGGCAGAGAGCGATTGGCTTAAAATCGGCTAATTTGAAATTCTGAGCTTCCTATAGCTACATGCTGACAAAATATTACACAGAATCATAGTAAAGCATGTAAAGTTCAATTTAAATACTTGAAATGGGTGTTAAATGGCTTTTTTCTATCAAAAAAATCAAAAATTGAGTTAAGACGAAAAAATCGGCTTCGATCTCTGGAAAAAAGTAATGGCAGATGGTCTGAGGATAAGTCATTAAGCACTTCAATTGAACTAACCGAAGCAAATGATTTCGCAACCACAAAGTCAACTACTGAAGGTTGTCCGTTGTAAGGATATAATGTAGGTTCGTCAGGCTTGATAATTCTATAATTCGAATTGTTAAGTAGATTAAATAGATCTGAGCCTTTCCGATTAGAAGAATGATTATTCCAAGCCAAGTGCTTGCAATTAAAATCGCCGGCAGCAACATGAAGACCAGTTTGAGACATCACTTTTTGAAAGAAAGCATGAGACTGTGCGCGTGATGCGGACGGAGAACAATAAATTGACGATATTTTTACTGCTACATTATCCAAATACACTGAGATTGAACATGATTCGGCATAATCACAACTAGATTTTGTGAATCCAAAATGCGGAATAGCGGAACGAATGAAGATAGCTACTCCACCACAAGCTCTATCAGATCTGTATGAAGAGAATCCAGGGATATCAAATTTCATGTCACTTGTGAGCCACGATTCGCTAATTAGAACTAAAGCAATAGAAAGTCTGTCGTTGACAGAAACGACAGCTTTTATTGTAATTATTAACAGACATAGGAAACTTAACTAATTCATGCATTTTAAGAATAATTTTTTAATTTCTACATTAAATCTACTATTTAGAAAACCTGTTAATTGATTAAACTATCCTAAAACTAATGATTAATTATATTATACAATTTGTTATTTACATATCATTTGTAACGTCTGCACTCGATTCAAATTACTCGTTACAATTACTCATATGCACCTGAACATTCAGGCGCAGTAACGTAGATTCTTTCATTTACTTTTAAGTCGTGAACGAGTGTAGCACGCTACAAATTTCTTAAAAATCCGTAACATGTAAGACAATATAAGTTAAATAAATTAAACTATTACAACAATCAAAATTTACGGATTAAATAAAAATTATTAAACTACACTCAATCACAAAAGTCTATCGATGAGAATTGAAATTTCTGTATACTTATTTCGTTTTTCTCTTTAACTCAATTTTAATCTCAGTTCCTGGGAATCAATGTAGTCACTTTTCTAATGTTTTTCTGAACTATGGAGATGTATGAAACAGGCCTTAATTAAAGCATTGAAAATTTGATTTATCCGTTGAATCGATCAATAAGATAATTTGCAAGTTTTTCATTATTAAGCAGTGTTGCATTCTGGCCATTTGTCTGGATCAGATAAATTCTGAGACAGAAATTTCTTCATAAAGATCGATTCTATGTGAAGAAAAATCTAATCTATACAAAGATTATTTCTACATAAAGAATCTGTCTACATAAAGATTCGATGTAGATGTCTAAAATTCTACATTCTTCTCTGATGTAGACCTGGAAAAAATGTAGAATTGTAGACATCTACATCGAATCTTTATGTAGACAGAATCTTTATGTAGAAATAATCTTTGTGTAGATTAGATTTTCTATCTTCATATAGAATCGATCTTTATGAAGAAAGTTTCTTAGCTAGACGGAACTATTGAAGAATCTACATTCTTCATCTAGTGTAGACATCTACATTTGCAACACTCTTATTAAGTATTAATAGAAGATCAAGAAAACATAGCGTCATTCACTTCAATTTCATCTTGTAACTGCTCCTTAGAGTTCAGAAAAATGATTAATTAAACCAAATATTTGGAAGTATTGAAATTAAAAACAATTTGAAGCTAAAAATATCTCGTGTAGTAACGAGTAGTAGCTGACAACTAAAAAAAAAAGTGTTCTCAAAAATACACGATAATATCTTTTTCAATACTTATTTAAACAAAAATTCTTCTTCGATTGCTTGAATGCAAAAACAACGACTAATGAAATATGAGCATATGCTTAATTTTATTTTATTTTTTTCTATTTGTATATTAGATGTGATCGTGCAATGAGAAATCCATTAATTCACGGAACAGTAAAGAGCTTCAGTCGCAGCAAAGGGCACGGATTTATTGCTCCAAAAGAAGGAGGTGAAGACATTTTCGTGCATATTTCGGAGTAAGATTAGATTTTTTTTTTCTCATTCGATTGGTTTGATAATTAATCTTTAAATTTCCTGTTTTTTTTTGGAAAAAAAACAGCATCGAAGGAGAGTATATACCATTAGCTGGAGACGAAGTTGTTTATAGAATGTGTGCTATTCCACCCAAGTTTGAAAAATGTCAAGCAATACACGTTCAGATTACGAATTTAACACCAGAAGTTCATACACGATGGGAATCACCATGTTTTGACGACGGACATCATCTTCATAAGTAAAAAAAATATAAAACCTTTGACTTGTTCGTTCCACATTACTGTTGATTGCAATTGCACATTTTTATTTTACGTGTATTTTGGCCATCATAAACAAAATCGTTCATTTATTATGATATATTATGTAGTCTAAGTTTTTCATATTATTTTTTTATATATAATAATGATGCCTAAAATAATAGTCACTTTAAAAAGTTTTAATGTACATCTCAAATTAATTTGGGTGCCTCGAGAGAAAACGCTGTCAACAAATATTAAATAAAGATGATAAAATTTAAATAATTTTGAAACATGTGATCATGCTCTAATGAACCCACAATCCATTGCATCCAGTAACGATTTAATACTTAAATCTCATTTTTTCCACAATTATCAAATGTATATAAAAACTAGTGTATCGGGTAAAAACCCAAAGCGGATTATATTCATGCCGTACCATCAAAAGTCTTATGGATAGACCAAGATTTGCCCACCATAAGCTTGATAAGTCAACTGAGCTTCGTTCAGCATAAGTTTTAATGTATAAAGCTAGCGAGTCAACTGAGCCTCGCTCAGCATAAGTTTGAAGGTTTAAAGCTTAAAGAACATTCTTTAAAAGTTTTTTAAAAAAATTTTTCATCCAAAGTTGAATTTTATAAAAATCACTGTCAACTTTTGTTTTAAAAAATTCGTAAGAAAGGAAAGTTTTTTGCTTTTTCTGAAGCAACGGATGTTCCTACCTTGCCCAAAAACAATACAGCTCTTCTATAGAGCAGCGCGAATCAAATGTAAAAAACTAGAATTCTCTACGATGTTTTGTTATTGAGATTTCTTTCTGATTAACTTGCATACTTGTTTGCTTGCTTACAGAAAGCGTATTTTGCGATTTTCTCAGCAATGCCGTAACCAATTTGAAATCCATTTTTTGAAAATGATGTAAAATTTCAGGCACATACTTTTCTTCTCGAACCTTTTATAACCAATTTTGCTTCGTTTGCTCACAAAATGCGAAAAACTGATTTTTCAATTTGAACAAAACACGTGAAAACGGTGTGAATATAAAAATGTTAAGATTTGCTCGAATATTACATTTATAAAGGATCGAGATAAATTCCAAGTTGAAGATTTTGAATTTTTCATTGATGCCACCCAATTTATGCCGCCATCAATTAGTTTGTTTTGGAAAATATCACAAAAAGCATCGTTGTTCTCGAGCATTATCCATCTCTCCATCGTTCATAAATTGTAAAATCTTTAAGCTTATGTCCGGATTGATATTCAAAAAAGTGATGATTGCAGATGAAAAAATCGAATGCACCGCACATTAAAGTGACACTTCCAAGAAAAACTTGACCTACTTCAGACACTGCAAGCCTTTCTCCTAATCACCTGAAGTATATTTGATTCAGGCAAACGTTTTGCATCGGAAGATCAACATTTGTAAACATTGGAATATGATAATAATAAAGAGGGTACGATGAACAGTGAATAGAATTTTTCAGAGATCGAAGCCGATTTTTTCGGCTTAACTCAACTTTTGATTTTTTTGATAAAAAAAGCTATTTAACACACATTTCAAGTATTTAAACTGAACTTTACATGCTTTACTATGATTCTGTGTAATATTTTGTCAGCATGTAGCTATAGTGAGCTCAGAATTTCAATTTAGTCGATGATAAGCCGAAATTTAAGCCGATCGGCTTAAAATCGGCTAAATTGAAATTCTGAGCTTACTATAGCTACATGCTGACAAAATATTACACAGAATCATAGTAAAGCATATAAAGTTCAATTTTTAATACTTAAAATGGAAGTTAAATGGCTCTTTTCTATCAAAAAAATCAAAAATTGAGTTAAGCCGAAAAAATCGGCTTCGATCTCTGGAATTTTTCTTAAGATACTTCACATGGTTTTGAATATCTTTAAGTTTAAAATAAAGTTCTGGCAAGCACAATAAACCAAGTTTTTCAGCACGCTTAGTTAATTCAATGATATTCCACTGATTTGAACCATCAATACAATTTCAAGTTTATGACAAGCTTGATGTCATTCAACCTTTAAAATCAATTAATTAAGACATTTTTAATTTTTTATTCTTTTCATATTATTATTTTTTTTAAAAATAAACAGGCAAATAAAATTAAGTAAAAAAGAGAGTTTCATTTATCAAAATAAACTATTTATTAATGCTGTATGTCTGTTTTGTTTTTTCGCTCAAAGATTACGTTGGTATGGTTTTACTCGAAAACGATTTTTATAAAACGGTGTGAAGCATCTCGGAGAATCAGTCCGTTTTAATTTCTTATGGCTAATATTTTTAAGCGGTCTCAATGTTACAAATTTCTGTGATTTACTTGCTGTGGTCATATTCACATTTGTTGACATACAATTCATCGAAGTCGTATAACAATCCGAACTGGTACAAATTTTAACATCTCTTTTAAGTTGCACAACTGCATCAATCATATCATTCAGTTCTCGAGAGTACATTTCAAATTCGCATCTATCTATCTTTAATTCTAATTCTCTTATAAATTTATGCATACATATGCTTTGTGATGATATTTGCTTTTGAACTTCATCAAGTGTTGTGCAAATATAATGTAATTCATCCTTTCTTTTCTCGTTTTTATTAATTAAAGATCTTTTATGAGTAGACGACGTGATGATTACCGAGTTTTTAAACAACTTTTCTAAATCATCTCCTTTCTTTTGATTAGCTTTGATTACATTTTGCAGCTGATTTTTAATCTGCGAAGATACTTCATCTCTTAAAGTATTCTTATAAATGTCAAAATTAGAAACAAGTCTCCGCATGTGGTTATTAAGTGACAAAATTTGCTTTTGAAGGATTTTAAATCCATTCTTCATCTCAGTTGATTCATTAATTTGTCGTAATTCATGGTTCCGAAGGACATCAGCAAGTTGGTTTTGAATAGAATTAATTTTTGGGATATCCTCACATTTCACTATTTTAAGACAGCTACTATGCAGTTTCAAAGAATCATACAAGTCGGAAATTTGTTTCTTTATTATTATCTCGCATTCGTTATCAGTAGGTTCTTTTGAATCATCAATAGATTTTTTTTGTTTTTGAAAATTTTTGTTATCAATAAGCATGCTGGAGACTTTGCTTTCTAGCAACAAAATTCTTTCAGCCAGACTATCAGAATTATTTGAGCACTTTTGAGTATTATTTTTGTGAATATGAATTAACGAATTTTTACTTTCAATTGAATTAAAGATTTTTTTCTTTATTTTACTTCCATCTGATCTAATTTGATACTGCAAAAAACATGATTTTATTTTCTGTTGAGAATAATAGATTATAAAACTTACTTCTTTAAAGCAAATTGAAGGCTCTTGAGACATATTATCTATCAAATTTGCAACAATATCTGCTGAATCATTATCAAGTACAACACATAGATTTGTTAATTTTAATTTTTTTAAAATTATGTGAAGAAGTGTATGAAGGATATTAAAATTTTCACTTCTCATGTTATAAGGATTTCTCAAAGCTAAATCGACCAAATTTGAAAGATACAACTGCATACTGAATAATTTATAAACGTGTTTGATACAAAATAATATATTAAAAGTCAATTTTGTTTTAAAAAAAAGGTTTCATTTCACAATGCCCACTTCAAATTTATTAAACTCTTTTGTAATTTGAATTTTTCAAACATTCAATAGGATCAGCTTTAAATATTGAATTATCGTGGCTAATAATGAAGAATTGCTGGGGTATTGGAAAGTTAACAAATGAATGTTCTGAACAGAACGATTTAATTTCTTGACTCTTCTTTTTGTGACATTCCAAAACAGGTTTCAACTTATTAGTTTTTTTGTGACTTCTTTTTTGATCTTGAAGATGTCTTTCAGTTTTTGAAGATAATTCTGTCTTCATCAAAATATTATTTTTGCATGAAACACAATTCACATTTGACTCTAAACTCGTTGTTGAACCCAATGCAAATGCCTTTTGATTAATTGATGATAAAACTATTCGCAATTCTTTGATAAACTGTTCAAAGTTGTTTAAAAAGCATGTTCTGAAATCTTTATGAATATTTCGTTCCATTTTGTCATCAATTTGAACTTTGATGTGTATTAGCGACTTTTTAATGTCGTCTTGAAAATTAACAAGAGATTTCTCAAGCATTGACACACTATCAAATTTCATTTCAAGTTTTTCAATTTTTTTTAATTCGATTTGAATGGCGTTTAGTCTAGTCATCAACTGATCAGTAATAAATGATTTATCTGCTTTTGTTCCTTCTAAATTTTGGCACAACTTTGATATTGATACAAATCTATCGTTCAATACATTTTCCAACTCTTTGAATCGTGATTCAAGACAACAAAATTTAAATTTTAAACTGTCGATGCCAAAAATAGTCTCATCAATCTTCTCTTCATTTTGCTCGCACGCGAAAAATAAATCTTCATATTTTTCCTCGTTCATTTTCGTTTGTTTTTCATTTTCATATATTTTATTTCTCATTGTAAAACTGTCGTGATGATGATCATCTATTAAACTTTTCTGTGAAGTTAATAAGTTTTCAGAGTAAAAATTTTGCGTGCTTGATAATTTCTCACTTTACTGCAAATATTCATCTTCGATTGACTTTTCTTGTTCTATTTTTGGTATAAATGATTCAATTCTGATATATTTTTCTTCAGTATAATGTCCATTCTTCATAAATGTATGCAGAACAGATGTTAACTTTTGAACTGAAATTTCTAAGGCTTCGATTCGTTTTGTTATGTTTAAAAGATTTAATATCTCCGTCATGTGATTCTCTGTGCACCTATTATGTTTCCTTTCTTCGTTCAACGAAAATAATTTTGAAACTGGATCAATATAGTCTTCTCTTCCTGTGCATTTAGATTTATGTTCAACATCCTTTTCAAACTTTTGCACTATTAATCTCATTAATTTCTCCAATTTTTTTACATGAACGGTTTCGTTATCAAAAGTATCATTGAGCACACTGCAAATATTATCCGACATAATTAACAGATTTAGAAGAAAAGAAAAACAAGAAAAAATTAAAATGATATTGAAATAATACAAAGGTTACGTCTATTATATGAACATATTACAATTTATTAATACTGGCGGTCCTCGATTTGAGTAGGTGTTTTGTTCCAAAAAAAATCCTTTTTAAATTGAATCTACTCAAATCGAGGACCCATAGTATACTAATACCTAATACTGCCTAATACATTAAAGTTTAAGATCTCTTCTTTTAATAATATACGGCCTGTTTCACTAAAGTGGATTATCCTCGATTTCGGATTATCCACTTCAGTTTTTTGTAAATATCTTAAACTTTATAGGAGGTGTGGTATTTCTAATTTTGGATTATAATAGAGTGAAGTATGCCTGAAATTTCTGTATACTTTAAACTTTTACTTTTCGTTAAGAACTATCAATTATTCAATTTCCTAGCCAAATCTAGTAGATTAACTTCAATATTTGCTATAATTCTCAAACTAGTGAAGATATAAAAATTCTAAGTTTATGTTACTTTAAGTAGCAAAATACTCTAACTAGATCACACATTAGATCTCTTAATAACCTTAGGGGCCATTCACTTATTACGTAACGCTTTTAGGGGGAGGGGGGGGGTCTAAGATTTTGTTACGGTTCAAACAAGGAAATTTTTTTTTCATACAAATTTTGTTACGAGGGGGGGGGGGGGGGTCTAAGAAGTCATTTTTTCGCGTTACGTAATAAGTGAACAGTACCTTAAGCATCTGGAGATATTTCCAAAAACTGAAGTGGATAAACCGAAATCGAGGATAATCCACTTTAGTGAAACAGGCCGATAGCGACTTATGAATTTTTTATATTCACACCGTTTTCACGTGTTTTGTTCAGATTGAAAAATCAGTTTTTCGCATCTTGTGAGAAAACAAAGCAAAATTGGTTATAACAGGTCACAGAAGAAAAGTTTGTGCCTGAAATTTTACACCATTTTCAAAAAACAGATTTCAAATTGGTTGTGGCATTGCTGAGAAAATCGCAAAATACGCTTTCTGTAAGCAAGCAAGCAAGCAAGCAAGTTAATCAGCAAGAAATCTCAATAACGAGACATTGTAGAGACTTCTAGTTTTTTACATTTGATCCGTGCTGCTCTATAGAAGAGCTGTACTGTTTTTGGGCAAGGTAGGAACATCCGTTGCTTCAGAAAAAGCAAATAACTTTCCTTTCTTACGAATTTTTCAAATTAAAAGTTCACTGTGATATTTTTTAAATTAAACTTTGGATGAAAAAAATTTTTTGAGCAAAGAACCAAGTAGGAAATACATTTTCAATTTTGGACTAGGGGCGACCCTAGTCAAAATCAATTTTGTCACTTTTTTCTTCGAGGGTTTATCCAAATGGATTAAAACTTTGCATAAATATTCTAGTGCTTAAAACAAATACAAATAAAACATCCTAAAATATTTTTGAGCAAAGAACCAAGAATGAAATACATTTTCAATTTTGGACTAGGGGCGACCCTAGTCAAAATCAATTTTCTCACTTTTTTCTTCGAGGGTTTATCCAAATGAATTGAAACTTTGCATAAATATTCTAGTGCTTAAAACAAATACAAATAAAACATCTTAACATTTTTTTGAGCAAAGAACCAAGTAGGAAATACATTTTTAATTTTGGACTAGGGGCGACCCTAGTCAAAATCAATTTTGTCTTTTTTTTCTTTGAGGGTTTATGCAAATGGATTGAAACTTTGCATAAATATTCTAATGCTTAAAACAAATACAAATAAAACATCCTAAAATTTTTTTGAGCAAAGAACCAAGTAGGAAATACATTTTCAATTTTGGACTAGGGGCGACCCTAGTCAAAATCAATTTTCTCACTTTTTTCTTCTAGGGTTTATACAAATGGATTGAAACTTTGCATAAATATTCTAGTGCTTAAAACAAATACAAATAAAACATCCTAAAATTTTTTTGAGCAAAGAACCAAGTAGGAAATACATTTTCAATTTTGGACACGGGGGGACCCTAGTCAAAATCAATTTTGTCACTTTTTTCTTCGAGGGTTTATCCAAATGGATTAAAACTTTGCATAAATATTCTAGTGATTAAAACAAATACAAATAAAACATCCTAAAATATTTTTGAGCAAAGAACCAAGTAGGAAATACATTTTCAATTTTGGACTAGGGTTTTTTTTCTTCGAGGGTTTATACAAATGGATTGAAACTTTGCATAAATATTCTAGTGCTTAAAACAAATACAAATAAAACATCCTAAAATTTTTTTGAGCAAAGAACCAAGTAGGAAATACATTTTCAATTATGAACTTGGGACAAGTCCAGTCAAAATCAATTTTCTCACTTTTTTCTTCGAGGGTTTATCCAAATGAATTGAAACTTTGCATAAATATTCTAGCGCTTAAAAAAATACAAATAAAACATCTCAAAATTTTTTTGAGCAAAGAACCAAGTAGGAAATACATTTTCAATTTTGGACTAGGGGCGACCCTAGTCAAAATCAATTTTGTCACTTTTTTCTTCTAGGGTTTATACAAATGGATTGAAACTTTGCATAAATATTCTAATGCTTAAAACAAATACAAATAAAACATCCTAAAATTTTTTTGAGCAAAGAACCAAGTAGGAAATACATTTTCAATTTTGGACTAGGGGCGACCCTAGTCAAAATCAATTTTCTCACTTTTTTCTTCTAGGGTTTATACAAATGGATTGAAACTTTGCATAAATATTCTAGTGCTTAAAACAAATACAAATAAAACATCCTAAAATTTTTTTGAGCAAAGAACCAAGTATGAAATACATTTTCAATTTTGGACACGGGGCAACCCTAGTCAAAATCAATTTTGTCACTTTTTTTCTTCGAGGGTTTATACAAATGGATTGAAACTATGCATAAATATTTTAATGCTTAAAACAAATACAAATAAAACATTCTAAAATTTTTTTGAGCAAAGAACCAAGTAGGAAATACATTTTCAATTATGAACTTGGGACAAGTCCAGTCAAAATCTAGTTTTTCACTTTTTTCTTCGAGGATATATCAAAATACAGTAAAACTTTGTATGAGCATTCTAATCTTTAGGTCACACATTTCTGAATTAATAAAAATCATTTTTTGGACAAAATTTTAAGTCACGTTGTTTTTGAATGTACAACCAAATTTATAAAATTTGGGTCTGACGACATATATAATACATTTCTTGCTTTAGATATTTAAAACTGTTTTGTATAAATATTGCTGACATAATTATGACATAAATTAGGTATATCTTTTGAACTGTGTCGATATGGGTCTCGGCCGTACTTCACGCCCACCCTTCAAACTTATGCTGAGCAAATCTTGGTCTATCCATAAGACTTTTGATGGTACGGTGTGAATATATCCGCATTGGGTTTCTACCCAATACACTAGTTTGGGATGTTATTGAATTTTGATTAATGCATTAAGATTCATAATTCTGATTATTTTTCTAAAGATGGATTTTTATCTTGTTCTTGAATTGGACACTGAAAATGCATACTTAAGAATTTTCTGAAATGCTGTGGTACAAAAAGTAGAGATTTATAATAAAACTACACTTAACTTTTCTCACAAAATAATAAAAACTTGAAGCTATCTATTGACAAAACACAATAATTTTAGACTACTCATTAACGACTTTTATTTCAGATTTTATAAATTAAAATCATTTTTAATTTGGTATATATGTATATGTCTTCATTAAGCAAATTGACCATTATTATTTTCTTTATTACTTATAAAACATTAAATTAAGCTTTATGTACTTGAAAGTTAAAATTGGTAGTGTTGGTTCTATTTCTGGATTTTTTTTGCATGGTAGAAACTTCCGTGAAAATTCTGGTTCCGAATTTTATACCCGTTTCTGTTTATGTATACCGAATTGTAACAAGAATGGAAATTCTAAAGATCTTATTTTTTACACGCTTTTTATTACCACGTTTTTCTTAACTTGCTTTCTTATCTGAAATAAAAAACTTTTTAAAAAGCCACGTTTTTACCCGTGGACTAAAAAGTAGAAAATAACTTTTTTATTGGGTTCAAAGGATATTGGTTTGAAAAATTGAGATTGATTTGAAAGTTTCATACTAAAGTCATGACCATACATGAATTGCAAATTTATTCACTTCAACCATATCGTATAGTTCTACATCTTAAAACGTGGGCGCATTTATACCAAATTTAAGCTTTCCAAATGTACACCATTAATGAATGCGCCCACGTTTTAAGATGTAGAACTATACGATATGGTTGAAGTGAATAAATTTGCAATTCATGTATGGTCATGACTTTAGTATAAAACTTTCAAATCAATCTCAAATTTTCAAACCAATATCCTTTGAACCCAATATAAAAGTTATTTTCTACTTTTTAGTCTACGGGTAAAAACGTGGGTTTTTAAAAAAAGTTCTTTTTTATAAAGTATTTTTTTAATGTGATAAATCAATTTTTAAAATGAGTATCTTATTGTTATTATACTATAGCTTAGTTTATTTATGATAGGTAAAGTTTGACATAGGGTTGGTACAATTATAAAGTTAATATATTTAATTGGCCTCAAAATGAACAATATGAAAAATTTCGTTAGCTGAATTAAATGTTCCAACTATTCGAATGAATGAGATTATTCTAGGCTCAAAGTGAAAGGATTGCCAAGACTGAAGTCTTTCATTTCTTTTGTCCACAACCAAGTCAAAATTAGTTTCATTGATGCTTGTTTCGATGTAAAAACTATACGTTCTATCATCACAATCCCATAAAAGAATACGAAAAGAGCTTATTAAGTATGGTTGGCCTAGTTGAATCAAAATATTTCCACTTCCAAGCTGATGACACGTGTATCCTAATTTAATAGACAAAAATACATCTTAATTTTGGAAAAAAATAATTTTAAAAACTTACCACAATCCCAATCATAATCCTTCACATTTCCATTTAGCAATGAATTTTTATTTCTCGATACACCTTCTAGTACAGTCGCCGATCGCTCAACCTTTATTTGTATCAGAAATATGGTCAATAATAAACGTTGGTTTAAGTAACGAATTGTTAAATACGTACCGTCGCCACATTATTTTTAGGGGAAATGATTCCATCGACAATACTTGGCATATTATTGGTATACATAGCTTCTAATGATACTAGATGAAATACTTTATTTACAGTGTTACGCGTTCCTTTTATTCGGACATATTTAACTGCGCGATTTGGAAAATACAAATGCTGCCACGATCGACAATGATAATTGGAATAATCAATAATACGTTCCCAAATGTGTTCTTCTACAGACACGTCAATCACATAAGAATATGATCTTGTATCCAAATCCCATAGTAAAATTTTTATGCAATTTATAATAAAAATATTAGAGAGTTGAATAACAATTCCATTACTGTCATCTTTTGTTGTAATTGCATGCCTCGTATATCCTTTTTCCATGTCATATGGATGATTGCTGTCGTCTTCGAGAACAGAAAATCCATCTGAAAGGCCTTGTATAACTTTTGCTCCATACTTGCTTACTGCAATATTCTCTTCCAGGCATAGTCGTCCGCGATGAGGAAGTCGCTGGATTTTTGATTGTTCTCTAACTGTGATTGCTAAAGAAAAATGTCATTTTTAATTGTGGGCAATTAATTGAATGAAAATTTATTATGTACCATCTAATAATGTATCAGGTTCCAAAATTCCAGTTGGACGAACGATAGACAATAAATCCATTGTACTTATTAAAGGTAGTCTTATTTTGCTAACAACTTCGTTAATTTCTTCAGGCCTTAAATCATTGTTGCATTCCATCCATCCTTGAACAGCATTAAATATTTGAATTTCCTCGGCATAAAAACTATCACGTAAAAGTATTGCAATTAGGCTATCCTTGTATAGAAATTTAAAAGACTCGTGACTAAGAAGCTCTTGAGCATTTTTGTCAATAAAGGTATAGCAAATATTTGTAAGTGAATGTAGCTCATATAATCTCGATGAATCCAGGATATTGCAAACATTCGATAGTTTTAGGGAATTTTTCAGAAAATTCGATATTTCATCTTTCAATTCTGTATAGCCAAAAAGGTTGGATAGTCCAAGTGTGTCTAAGATAATATTCATCTGTGGCATGATTTTTTGTAAGTTAATCTTTCCCGTATAGATGTACTTCAATAAAATTTTAAAAGCTTCTTTCTGAATGTTGAGCGTAATTTCATTCTTATTGGATTCACTTAGTCCACCATAGAGCATAGCACGAAAGTATTCACTTCTAGCTGCTAAGATGACTTTGTGACCTTAAAAAAATATAATTTATAATACTGTTAATTAATTTCGATTTTTTGATGAGGAATCCATTTTAGTATCTGCATCTTCGAAAATTAGGCTTTAATATATTTAAATTTAATGTATATTGGGCCTGTGTTGATTATTAGGAACTGCTTTTAATATTGACTTACTTGGAATTCGCTCATTTTCGACCAAAAATATTACATCCGAATAGTTTTGACTAAGGTATAAATTTGAGAAATCCTCACTCAATTTCTCCGTCAGTATTATTTCACCGACTTTTTTATCGTCTTCCTGAAGAAATTTGGACATTGTTTTATCCAATTTTTAATAATATTATTAGGTATGCAAAAACTTCATATCAAAATATCGAGGATGAATTTTCACTGAGGCCTCATTCACCTTTCACGTCTATCCTACCCTCAAGTCTTTTTCCCACGACTCGAAGCATTTAAATAAATTTTTTCCAGTAATCAACTGTCAACAGCTTTATTGAATTGTTTATAAAGTGGCACATGTGTTAATAAAAATAAAAAAATAATGAAATTTGTGATAGAGCCTGCAAAAAAATGTGCAGGAAGATTAGGTTTATTAACAGGTATTGATCGAATCCCAGATAAATCATATAAAACACCTCTTCTCCTATTTACCGAGCAAAATTTGTCACGAGAGGTTCTTGAAATTTCTGGATTCCAAAACATTGCTGTTTTATTATCTTTTGACTGTTCAGTTCAGATGACAAATGCATTGAAACTGTACAAGAAAGGCATATCCGAATTCATTGGATTAAAAGAATGCCTAACATTTGTTACAATAAAAAATCCTTGTTATCCATGTCTCACTGGTCATCACGAAAAAGGTTCACTTCCAGTGTATAAAAAATCAGGGAAAATCAATGTAACATCTGAAGACTATATGACATTTATAAAAGAATCGATGCCTGATTTTTTTGTTACGCTAGCTGACGGAGATACATGGCATGATTGCTCGAAAAAAAGGATTATTAAATCAAATGAAAGAAGCAATGAGATGCTTGATGAATGCATAAAACATCAACAAGGTATTAAAGTCAAGTGGAGCAAAATGATTGGTACTGTTGAAGGAGGATATAGTGAGCACGAGAGACGGAAAAGTGTAGATCATATAAAACAGCATGATGAAAAGATAATTGGTTATTTTATAGACGGTCTCCATAGAAATGGACATGATGCAGTTTCTTTGGATTCCATAAAAGTTAATGAAATTGTTAAATATACTTTGTCAATATTGCCTCATGATAAAATTAAGATAATGCTTGGAGCATTTTTACCTAATCAAGTTCTTGAACTTGTGTCTATAGGAATTGATGTATTCGATTCGTCGTTTGCAATTTTGGTCTCAAAAATGAATCGTGCATTAACTTTTAACTTTAATCTCCAAAATCCAGCATTATTAGACAGTGGTCCTGAGATAGATTTGACAGATTCAAAGTAAATATAATAATCATATACTGACTTTAACAAACTATCTGTAAGTTTAACTTAAATTTTTCAGATACAAGGATGACTTTTCTCCTTTTGTTGAATCGTGTCAGTGCTTAACATGCAAACAACATACAAAAGCTTATACTAATCATCTGCTCAACACAAAAGAATTGCTTGGTCCAATGCTCTTAACAATACATAACTTACATCACTACAAAATGTATTTTGAAGCAATTCGTGAGTGTATAAAAAACGATGAATTATCAGACTTAAAGGAAATGATTGACGTGCAGTATAAGAATAAAACTTTTAGCTACGAAGTCCAGAAAAATGTCGCTCAAACGAATTGAATTTTTTTTTTCTTCTTCATTGAATTATTTTACTTTTATATTCAGATTGATTAATAAATGAATTACAGTCAAAAAATCATTAGGAAAATTTTTTAACGATAATTTTGTAGAGTATGAAGCTGAATTAATTCTGAAAAATTAATATGTGAATAACGATGATTAATTCTTTTGTTTTGTAGATTCTCTTTCAATTGCTCGTTGCTTTGCTTTTTCATACAACGGCATCAACTGTCCCTTTTCGCCTAATATTCTCAACAGTTCCACGATCAAAGGAAGATAATTATGTTTTCGTCGAATATTTTCGATCTATAGTTATAAATAAAAAAAAGGTTAATTAAAATAGCAACGAGTAAAATATGTCAGTCACCTTATAACGTTTGCGTTTCATGATTTCATCTTCAATGTTTAATCGTAGTTTTGTGATTTCGTTTTGCTTAGTATCCGTTTCCATTTCATCGCCAGCAGAAGTTAGAAGTGCATCAAGTTGACGCTGGTAAATCATTTGACGATCAGAGACAATAGCCATTAGATTGAAATGAATTTCTCCTTCGCTGTATTTCTGAATTCGTTTTTCAATTACTGGACGAACCACATCTAACCAATTTTTATCTCCAATAGCTCCCAAGTCAATTGGTCCTTCCTTCAAACCATCCAGCTCATAAAGTCGTCCATCGATTGGTATATACGATATAAAATGATAAACGTCTTCATCTTTTTGATTCTTAGAATTGTCTAATTCAAAAAGAGTTTGACGAGCGAATGAATTGTGAACAGTGCGAATTTGAGCTGCATTACTCAATGCTAGACCCTTATTGTATGCATCAAACGATTGCGTAAATTCCTTAAAATCGCCTAATGTTGATCCAATATGCAAATCTGAATGATTTATATTGAGTAATATGCTTAGAATAGCTTGTGTTGCACAAGCATTCTGGATCACTTGTTTTGCGAAGAAAATTTTTTCAATCCTATTATCCTGTACAACTGCTTCCGATGCCTCATCATCTTTTACCCATTTAAATAAAAATATCAATCCATGAACGGTGCTAAAATTAGTCGATATAAAGAAGCTTTCTTTATATATTACAAAATGAGAAGCTTACCCTAAATTCTTAAATTCTTCTGCATCAAGACTCCACAATTCTTCAACTTGCAATCCAGTTACGCCTTTATAAGACAACAAAAAATATATAAATGTTTATCAATAGAAAACTAAAGAGTCATCAGTAACCTGTAAAATTACTTACCAAAATCTCTGATTAACTCAGTAAATACACCTGAAAATATACCAAATATTATATGGTCTTATTCATAAATCTTATGCTTACCTGGATCACTTTCAATTAAACACCAATTTCCTGCATCCGACATGATTTTCCTTTAAACTTTTTATTTATTTTTTATCGATGAAAATAATACTTTATACCAAACTTGAATTACTTATTGCTCACACAAATTATCCTTGCATTAAGCGCTTTCTTTAATAATTTTTTTAAAAAAATTCCTATCGTTATTAGACACGTACGTAAACAGTTGATTGTAAAAGAAAACGTACAGTACACGTACGTAGAATATTTATGAACATCAGTGAGACATTAGTGACTTGAAATAGTTCAGAGTATATAAACCTAGTTTAAAAACTTTTAAGCGTCAAAAAAATGATAATAAATAAATAAAATTGGAAATAGTGCAATTCAAATGCAATGGTAGTATCAAAACGAAAGAAAGATAATAAAGAGATTGCACCACCAACGCCAGAATTAAAAAGGTATATATCCAACCGGTTCCTTTGACAAAATAAGAGAATATGAATGCGAAAAAAATCGATTTTTTTTTGTGAAAATTTACTAATGGCTTACTACTTATTTTTTTCTTCTTTTTTAAAAAATTTTCAGAACAAAAATTCAGGCACAGAGGAAATTTCCACAAGGTCAAGTTCCACCTTCATCTGCATATCTCACGTATAATTTAACAGCAGGAAATGAAACTCCGAAAGAAAAGTCACCAGAAAAGGAACTTCTTCCAAATTTAAGACCAAACACGGAAGATTTTTTAACTTTCTTATGCTTTCGTGGCACAAGTTCATTGCCAAAAGAATTAGATTTTACTAATTCCCTTAGTAATCAACCGTCTACAAGTGGAACGGCATCTGCGACACGAATAAATAATAATGAGAAAAAGAGACAGGACAAAACTGAGAGTAGTAGCAAAAAGAAAGTAAATAATACGAGTATAACAAATAATAATAATAATAATAGTAACAATTCCATCAAAATTAATAAGAATGATGAGGCAACAAAAGTTACAAGTAGTGATAAAGAGAAAAAGAATGATGAACAGAATCCACAAACATCAACATCCGAAAAGAAGGAAACTAAAAAGTCATTTATGCCTTTTGCAGTTCGCAAAAGAGCAGAGATCCATCCTGTGAGAAATGATAAAAAAAAGGCACAAAATAGTAATAATAAAAAGAAACAAAATTTGCAGAAAGAACACAAATCTGAGACATTAAACGACAATAAGGAAGTTCAAAATGAGCAACAGCGAGTAACAAGATCTAATCCAGTGGAAGAAAAGTCATTACAAAGTTTTGGAAACAAGCGAAGGTCGCAAAATAATGAAGAAAGTAGTGACAGTTATGCACTTAATACAAAGAATATCAAGCTAGATAAATCTCCTAGAATCGAGTTAACTCCAATTGAAAAAGTGCCAATTGAAACATTGAAAAAGGATTCTAAAATTAATGTTAATATTAAGAAGAAAATTCAAAATTCTGATCAAGTTAAGAGGCAAACAAGACTGTCTGCATTGCGAAATCCACCAAATTCATCGACGAATGAGAAACGAGAGACGTCCAAAAATAATGATAAACTCCTGTACGATAGTGAAAAGTATTTTTTCTCATCTGAAGATGACGACGACGACGATCAGCCACTACTCAAATCGGACTCAAATAACGATAAAAAGAAAAAGAAAGTGCAAGCAAATAATAAAAATCGTTCAAAATTTTCGATTAACAAAAGTAAAACAAATTCTAAGAATACGGCAAATAAGCCAGCAAATGAAGTACAGTCTGGAATAAAAAATAATAAGAAGAAAGATATAGAACAAAGTATCAACGAGGAAGTTGTTGTAAGTGACAAATCAGTGGAAAATGATTCGAGAGTTGAAAATGATAAAACTATTATTGAAAGTACAAGTATGCCTGAAAAGAAAAAGGTTGGAAGGAAAAAAAAGACTCAAAAAGAAATTGAAAAGGATAAAGATAATTCACAAGCAAACACTACGGATTTAAGTGAAAATGAGACTCGAAGTCGACCAATGCGCAAAACTAAGGAGGCAGCAACGATTTATATGGAATTAATTGGACGAAAATTGACGCTGCATGATTCATCTGATAATGATTCGTCGTTAGATAGTTTAGAAGTACCAAATCTTAAGCGCGTTGAGCTTTTAGAAAATGAACTAAAAGCAAACGTTGGAAAGGCAAAGGTTTCAGCCGAGGCTGAGAGAAAGAGAAATGAAGACAAAAAGGTAACAATTAATTAATAAAACTATTTATTTTATTTCGGCAATAACTATAAATAAACGCCTGCATTAATTTTTTTAAGGGTTCAACAAGTGTGAAAAAAACCACAACGAAAATTGAAATGAAAAACACAAAAGTTAACGAAAGTGCTACTAAAAATGATGATGATGATGAGTTACAGAAAAATGTGAGTTTTGACGATAAAAAATTTGAGAAAAGTTTTAGTGATTCCGATGAGGAACCATTGGCCACAAAAGTAATTAAGAATGCTCCACTAGCAAGTAAAGCAACGCCCAAAAAAAGAGGTAGAAAAAGTAATCAAGAATTGGCTGAAATTGCTCGAAAAGCCGAAGAACAAAGACAAGCTGATAAACTTAAACAGCAGATAAAAGAGCTGTCAGATACGAAAATTGAAACCACTCCTAAACAAAGCTCGTCTGTCAAACTTGAAATCGTTAACCCTCCGATTGTATCGATCCCTCAAGAAACGAAAATGTCAATCCAAAATGAAGTAATTAAAAGTACATTTGACGAAATTAAAGATTCTGTACCAAGACTTGTGAAATCACAAGAAATTACAAAAACTACTAAGAATCATGAAGTAAAGGTTGATATTCAATCTCAAAACGATGACGACTTTGTAAAAGGTTTTGATACTAATTGCACCAAACCAATTTCGGCGATAAAATCGTCAATTAATCTCTTGCCTAGTAAAGAGGAATCGGAGAAAATATTTGGAATCGCTAGTGTTACTTTGGCGCAAAGTAGTGGTCCTTTAGATACAAAATGTACGCTGGGAAAATGTGGATCAATTCATAAGCCATCGTTGGGCCCTGCTGTTTTGACGGAATCAGCTCTTGGAAATAGTTTGTCTCCAAAAGATCGACGGAAAAGTAAAGTTAATATGACACGTGAGCAAATCCAAAAATGGCTAGATGAAGCTTCTTGGACACCAATTCCAGATGATGAAATGGAATCAATTGATTTAAAAACAACGTCAAAAGCATCAACTTCAAGTGCCATTTTGTCAAAGTCAGGAGATGAATCTCAATCCTCTACTATAACGAAAGAAAAAATTGTAGATCAATCGCCATCAAACTTTAATGATCAAGTGAAGCAAACAAAATCAGAGTCCATTTCTTTACAAAAGCTACAAAATTCATTGCGAGCTGAAATTGGTAATAGTAAAACTGTTGCAACAAAAATTGAAGAAAATATCAAGAAAAAAGATATCGAGTCTCAAAATGTATCTTTTGATTCGCAAGCATCAAATTCAGCAATAAAATCTCCAGTCAATGATAAGAAAATTCCGATTTATCAAACTCAACAACAAATACAACAGCAACAGAGGAGGGCACCAGTTTATAAAGCGACCGTAGATAAGCCTGCGACCAAAACAAAGTTAACACCAATAGTTCCGAGTAGTTTTGCTGCATTTTCGCCTGAAAATGAGCACAGCATATATTCATTTGATAGAGAAGATGATGATTTTCCAACTCCCACAACGCCGTTCAGACGAAGTAACTCAAAAACTGATGATAATAATAAACGAGATAATGAATCTCAAACAAAAGCCACACCATCAAAAAGTATTCAGCCGTCTCATGTTTCTTTAACTCTAAGTCCTGAAGATAATAAGAAATCAGCATCGATAAGTGTTGGAGTTCCTGATGATCATAAAAAAGAAAATTCATCAAAAGTCGATGTTCAGGAAAAGGATGATTCAGACTCTGAAGGTCATACATTTTATATTCCATTGCAAGCGTCAAATACATCATCAGGTAATAAAACTATTCAAGGTGTTGCAGTAAAATTGGGAACGGAAGGAGCTGAAGGACCAAATCAGAGGATTATTATGCATGCAAAATTAGTTACTAAATCGAAAATTAATTCAACTCCAATTCCTGAATCGATGACCAATATGCAAGAATTGGTTAAAACTTTAATGGCAAGTAAGGAAACATCAAAACCAATTCAGACAGTTCAGCCAAGATTTAAATCAAATGAAGCTGTAGAAAGTGTAAGTACTTCTTTACAGCCTGAACCGAGTACATCTTCGTTGGTTGCAAATCAGCGAACTAAGCAAACAACGAAGCTTGGTGTTATGAATGAAGCTCCAATTTTCAGACCTACAGAAAAAGAATTTCAAGATCCAATCGAATATATTGAAAGGATAACACCGCTTGCACGGAGATTTGGAATTTGTAGAATAATTCCTCCAGAAACATTTAAACCGGAATGTCGTGTCAGTGACGAGATGAGATTTACAGCATATAATCAATATGTTCATAAGATGCTTCATCGTTGGGGTCCAAGTGCAAAAGAGTTTGCAGCAATTAAAAAATATTTGGCGACTCAAAGTATTATATTTCAGCGTCCTCCTTTGATAGCTGGTATTGAAGTCGATTTACCAAGATTATATCATACAGTTCAAGAGCTTGGTGGATTAAAAGAAGTTATAGAGAAAAAGAAATGGGCTAAAGTTGCCGAAGATATGTGTATTCCCAAGTCTGCACACGATCGCGTGACAAAGCTTGATGATATTTATTGCAAATATCTTTTACCATACGACACACTTTCACCAAATGAAAGACAAAAGCTATTTGATGAAGTCGAAGCGGATTGGGCAAAGCGTGAAGCTAAAGCACGTAGAAATGCTGATAAAGGTGTGGATTCCGATGAGCAAAATGATTCAGAATCTGATGAGCAAAATGAATCTGATGACGACGAAGAGTGTGATGATAATGAATCAATGGAATGTATGGTAAAAGGTCGAAGCATGGCACTAAGTCAGTTCTATAGAATAGCTAGAAATATGGTTACACTATGGTTCAAAACACCTGAACCAGTTAATTCTGAAATTGAGACAGAGTATTGGCGTCACGTGGCTGTTCGTGACAGTCACGTCTGTGTTCATTATGGTTCGATTGATTCTAGTGCTTATGGTTACGGTTTTCCTGCACACGGACCTAAAACTAAGCTTTCTCCATGCGCAAAGCATCCGTGGAATTTAAAAGTTTTAACAAATAACTGTGGATCAATTTTACGATCGTTAGGTCCTGTAATGGGAGTCACAGTTCCAACATTACACGTTGGTATGCTGTTTAGTGCAGTTTGTTGGTACCGTGATCCTCATGGTTTACCATGGATAGAATATTTGCACACTGGAGCAAGCAAAATTTGGTACGCTGTACCTGATGAGCAGAGTTCAAACTTTAGATCAGCTCTTACTTCATTAGTTCCTTCACATTGTCAGAATAAGACAATTTGGTTACCATGTGATACAACGATGGTAATTAAATTTATATTAATAATTAATTTAAACTTTTCTTAAATAACAGAATTTTTCGTCTTATTTAAGGTTCCACCGTACATGCTAACAGATCGTAATGTTTCATTGTGCAGAACAGAGCAACAACCTGGACAATTTGTTGTAGTATTCCCCAGGGCCTACACATCAAGCGTCTGTACTGGATACACTGTCTCTGAAAGCGTTTATTTTGCCACACATAACTGGCTAGACACAGCTCATCTTGATTTCAAGGTATAAATATGTAAATATTTGTTTAGTACATTAAATAATGACCATTCTCTCTATTCAATTTAGGATGTTCAAGAAAGTTGTGAACCGATGATGTTTTCACTAGAACAACTTTTGTTTGCAATTGCCAATGATCAAAGAAGTAAGGAAGAAACGATTAAAAAAATATTACCAATGCTCAAAGAGGTCTTTGATATGGAAAAGAAGAATCGTAATTTATTAAAGGTAAAAAAAAAAAAAAAACAAAAACGACTATTTAAAAACTATGTTGATCATCTATTGAATAAATATTCTTATAGGAATCTGGCGTAAATGCAGTTGAAAAAATTCATGAGATCAAGAAACAAATCAATGCTGAGGAATTGGAATGCAATTATTGTCGAGCAAATTTACATATCTCTTGGATCAAATTGGATGATGATGAGGAAGAAAATAATGTTTATTGCTTGAAACATGCTTTGAGATATATAAATGACAATCGTATTCAAGCAAATCAATGCAAATTAATGTACACTTATACGACGGAAGAAATTGAAAAGCTGATAAAAAAGTTAAAGCTTAAAGTTGTCGTCAGCGATGAAAATGTTGGCCATTCGTCATCAACAGCTGTTGATTCTCAGCAAAAGAGTAAAGGAAAACTACACCAAAAGGGAAAGGCAACAAGTAACAAATAGTAATATTGCTGTGCATTAGTGGAACAAAACATGAAAGTATATCCTTTTGACCGATAGCTAAAAAGACTAGTCAAGTTTAAAGGATTTTGGACTTATTTGCTTGAAGAATTTAGTATTTTTTTAGAAAATTTTGATCACAGTAATTTTAAGGACATTTAACATTTCTATCATCTTCTGAAAAATAAAATCATATTTTAGTGAGATAATAATTATTAATATAGATATAAAAGTGTGTATGCATACATAAAAAATATCTGATTTTTGCATTTGCTTTATGATCATCATAAAAATTTGTAAGAGAAATCTTTAATTATTTTTATTCAATCTTCCAATATGTAATAATTCCAATCACTTATTTGTCTTGTCTTCATTTTATACTCTTTTTATTGCTTTTTAAATTCTTTTTTTTGTTATATTTAAACAATATCAGTTTAATGGAATGAGAATCTTTCTTAATATAACATGATTTGAGAGTATTTTTTTAAAACATAAATTACGTAACGTAAAATTTCATTTAGTAGCATAAATATTTATTGCAGTATGTCTAAAAACCTATATGATGAAACAATTAACTTCAAATAAATGTTTGACGTATAGTAATAAAATAAACATTTGTCCAATCTTTTTTGTTTTTTTTTTTTTCAGTCTTGCTTCCTAAAGAATTCATTCGCCTTAAAAATTGTCGGTGCCTGATAAAATCCATCTTGATTCCAGTTAGTTTCATTCAAGTCCCTAGGTTTGGCAAATATATTGATAGATTTCAAAATTATATCAATTTTCTTTTCAGGAATATCTAGTTCCTCATCTGCTATGTCCACTTGCTTCTGAATCATACACAAATCAGATTTGATTCTTTCAACCATACTCTCAAGATTATCTATTTGGTCACAAATCTTTTCAAATTCAGGCTTAAATTCCAGTAATTGAGAAAGATTTTGTTGTGTTATTTCAGAATCATGTCGAATGGTCGGGAGAAATACATTCTCAATTTCATTAATTCTAGTTTGAATATTTTCAGTCGTCGACAAAATTGGAGTTATCTAGTGATTTCCATAAATCATTTTTAAAATTATAAAATTACCATTATTGGCTTGTTTAATAAATAATAGTCACCTCATTTGAAATATCGCTGTTGATGAAATAGTTTGCATAGTCTTTGCTCAACTCTTTAGCCATGATTTTTAAAAACAAAAATATCTCTCAAATAAAGCAATTTATTAAAACGACTAGAGCAATTAATTTTAGAGGTGCTTCTCAATGTTTTTGCTTTTAAAAAAATCGATCCACAAGCTAAGTTTTTCTTTATGGTATATTTTTAAACACAATCATAACAGTTTTACTTATTGTCACATCATTAATACATAGTCTGTTAAGTCGCATTTACAAAAGAACTGTAAGATATGTACGGTTCTTATAAACTTGCAAAAATATATACCTACCTTCAATTTTGATTATTTTTTTTTTGAGAATCGGAAAAATAAAACAAACTAATGTAAACATCTTAATCTTTTTTGTATTGTAGTTATACGGTATCTTGATATCTTTCAATTGTCAACAAATAAAAGTTATTGGAAGAAAATTATAGAAACAACATATGGCAATTAGAATTTTTTTTTTCTGATGATGGAAATAACATAAAATTATTATTATCAATATAAAGCAATGTCATTTTGATTCTACTGATAAATACATAAGCATTTTTAAGAAAGTCTTGACAGGTAAACCATAACAGTGCTTAACAAAGAAAATTATAAAAGTGTTAAGTTTTTATATGTGTTAAAAAATAATTTCGTGAATAAGACGTGAAAAACTGATACAATTGTTTGGTCAATCAATCCTATAAACATAAAATAAATTAATACGAATTAGATGGTAACGCATCAAATTCATTGAATGAGATTTTAATCATATATACCTAAATTGTTCCACGTAGATGATTTTTTCATTATCTTTTCCTTTCATACTCACATATGTTTAAATATGCTTCGCTTGAAATATTAGCATTCAATAATTTCAAATATTACCTAAAGCGTGTTTGATTATATGAAAGGTTGATAAAATAATTCATTTTATTAAAAGCTATTTCATTTCCATATGTTGTTTTTTTTGCATTTTTGCTCTAGATTCAACAAATAATAAAAAGAAAACCTGAGAAAGAAAATTTTGAAATGATTGGAAGGAAAGAACTTGACTAAAATATTAGAAAGGATTAAATCTTTAAAATAAATTAGAAATTGGGCATTCAGTCTCATTTTCCATAGACTCAATCGAGAATAAAAATGACAACTATACGATATGCGCGTGTAAAATCAACAATAACAGATGAAAATAGTGATGATAACACAAATCAGTTACAAACAATCGATAGTGAGGACGAAGATGATGAAGTAGACGTTCTTTCAGTAAAAATCGCATCATGTAATAATGATGACAATCATGTTTCACTGAAACATAGCACATCTGTTCGAAATACTTTATTAAAAACAGTTCTATGGGTTGGCTTCTTAATTTTGTGCCACTATATATTGTCGATTGGATTAACTTTTTATCAAAGGTGGCTGTTAAAGGTATGACTATAAAAATAATAAAAAAAACAACACATAAATTCATTAACAAGTTAACATTTCCTTAGGGGTATAAGTTTCCTTTCACAGTCGTCCTTTATCATTTGATGGTAAAACTAGTCATGTCAGCGTTAATTAGAATCTTCTATAGATTATGCACCGGAAAACAAAGAGTGAGGCTGTCTGTTTCAACAGCACTAAGAAAAGTTGCTCCTACATCATTTTTTGGTGCCATTGATATTGGATTTTCGCAATGGGGTTTGGAGTTTGTTGAAGTTGCACTGTAAGAATGAAAAATAATTTTTATAATTTTCCATAGGCTAACTCTATATTATTGTAATTTCCTCAATGATAGGTACACAATGACGAAATCTACTGTGATTATTTTTATAAGCTTTTTTGCGATACTCTTTCGTCTAGAACGAAAGAGTTGGTCACTTCTTTTTATTGTTGTGATGATATCAGCTGGTTTATTTCTTTTTACGTATAAGTCGACTGAATTTGATCTTCTCGGGTTTATTTTATTGTTGATAGCATCATTTAGTAGTGGTGCACGGTGGACATTGGCACAGTTAGTTATGCAGAAATCAAAACTAGGCCTTCAAAATCCTATTGGTAAGTGCTTTATATACTTTATCGATACGCATGTCATGATGAAATTATTCAAACTTAATATAATTGTGGCAATTAATCTTGATCAGAGTACGATCTTGTAACGATGTTATGCTCACTAGAAATTACATTCCACATTAATAAATTATGCTTATTTTTGTCAATATAAGCTAATTGTGTTTTTTTTTACAGATATGATTTACTATATGCAGCCTTACATGCTTATCTCTCTTATACCATTTGCTATAGTTTTTGAATCGACAAGACTATTTGAACATTTTTCAATGATCTTTGACATGGATGGATATGAAATATTTGTTTTATGGGTGAAAATTTCAATTGGTGCATTTTTAGCATTTTTCATGGAAATCAGCGAATTTCTTGTCTTATCTAATACCTCTAGTTTAACACTTTCTGTTGCCGGAATCTTTAAAGAAATTTGTCAATTAGTTTTGGCAGTTGAACTTAATGGAGAGCAACTAGGATTCTATAATTTGATAGGTCTAATTTTATGTTTAGGAGGCATAACATCACATGTCATTTATAAGTATTGGCTCCTGACAGATAACATACCTGAGCGAATAACTGCAGAGCCTGAATGCCATTATGATATGAATAATCAATATTCTACAAAATATAATAAAAATAAGAGGACCAGTAACAGTAATGTGAACACAGGATTAAATGGTAATGCAAGTGAAATAAAACCCTCAATGAATAATGGAGCAAGTGTAGTCATTGCATATAATCAAAAAGAACCATTGTTAAATTATGATGGTACCGAGTCTGAAAGTAATGATGAGATGGATAGCAAGTCTGCTGAGGTTTTATTTGATATATTAAAAAGACGTGACGAAACACGAAAATAACTTATGGTAATTTTTTTAAAAAAAAAAAACAAAGAAAACTATTTTAAATAATAGGAAAAGAACTTAAATATATGTATTTCTGTATGTACAGTCATATTAAAATAATGAAATCTAGAATAATCAAAACCATTTTTAAAACTTATAATATTGGAATTTTCTTTTGAAATCCAATAATTTGCATGCTGAGTTTTGATTTGTAATACATCATTGTATAATTATGTACCATAAAATAGTTCTTAAATAAATTTTATATGAACCATTCACATATAGATTTTTAGCAAATTTCATTCCATAAATGCACATACCAAAACTGGAGAATTACTTTATGATTTTCTCTCTCCAAATCAACAAAAACAAACTTTGGCTTTTGAGACATTTTATTATAGAAAAGATTAATACAAAAAAAATTAAGCTTAATAGTTGATTTATTTGATAAATGATAACAACATGTTCAAATTTTTCTTTTAAAATTTAATAATTTTTTGTTTATTTTGTCAATTGAAGAATTTATTAAGCAGCTTAAATTATTGTTCAAGCTTATTAGGTATGTGCCGTGAATATTAAATTGAGAATTTTTTTTGAAAAAGTTCCAATGTTATTCAACTGATTAGTTGCACCCAACAATCTATACATTCCATGTTTGTATTTAGTCAAAAAAAAAAAATGTAATGCAAATGAAATGATTAGTTCAAGTATAAATAGAGTACGCAAAAGTTTTAATTTATGCATACCTTCTTAAGATTTAAATGTAAATCAATGAACCAATGAATTGAAGAATGAATAAAATATATATGAATGTTATTATTAAAACTGCTCGTTTAATATTTGTTTAAAAATATATTTTCAAAAAAATTATGCAAGAATTACTTTAAAAAAATGCAACCGTTTACCAATTACCAATACCAAATGCAATACTGTCTCTGTCAATAGCTTCTTTCCAAGAGTTCATGGGTTGTCTGCGTGATCTTTTACCATCTACAACAACATTCTTGAAGACTTTTAATGAGAGTTTCAACAGGTCTCCTAACAACATGTCCAACCCAACGGAGCCTGTTAATTCTGATTCGTTGTACGATTTCAGATTCATTGAAAAGCAGTCTTATAAAAGTTTTCTTCTGTCTTAGTTCCAAATATAATTCATAGAACTTTTCGCTCAAATACACCAATTGCGTTCTCATCTACGATAGTTATATTCCATGACTCAGAACCGTACAATACTCCTTGGCATATTAGCGTCTTGTGCATCACTAGTTTGGCATTTCTCGCTATTCTCTTTGATGTGATGTAGATTTCTTATTGCAAAATATTCACGCTGAGCTGTGTGAGGATATGGAGCAAGATACCTAAAAATGTTCAGAGATGAAAAGTTTGTGCCTTGCATTTCACATCTTTTGCAAAAAACAGATTTCAAATTAGTTGGGGCATTGCTGAGAAAATCGCAAAATATGCTTTCTGTAAGCAAGCAAACAAGCAAACAAGAAAGTTAATCAGCAAGAAAACTCAATAACGAGACATTGTAGAAACTTCTAGTTTTTTACATTTGATCCGTGCTGTTTTATAGAAGAGCTGTATTGTTCTTATGCAAGGAAGGAACAGCCGTTGCTTCAGAAAAAGCAAAAAACTTTCCTTTCTTACGAATTTTTCAAATTAAAAATTCACTGTGATTTTTTTTTTATATTAAAATTTGGATGAAAAAAATTTTTTGAACCAAGAACCAAGTAGGAAATATATTTTCAATTTTGGACTACGGGGGGCCCTAGTCAAAATCAATTTTGTCATTTTTTTCTTCGAGGGTTTATCCAAATGGATTCAAACTTTGCATAAATATTCTAGTGCTTAAAACAAATCCAAATAAAACACCTTAAAAATTTTTTGAGCAAAGAACCAAGTAAGAAATACATTTTCAATTTTGGACTAGGGGCGACCCTAGTCAAAGTCAATTTTCTCACTTTTTTCTTCGAGGGTTTATCCAAATGGATTGAAACTTTGCATAAATATTCTAGTGCTTAAAACAAATACAAATAAAACATCTTAAAATTTTTTTGAGCAAAGAACCAAGTAGGAAATACATTTTCGATTTTGGACTAGGGGCGACCCTAGTCAAAGTCAATTTTCTCACTTTTTTCTTCGAGGGTTTATCCAAATGGATTGAAACTTTGCATAAATATTCTAGTGCTTAAAACAAATACAAATAAAACATCTTAAAATTTTTTTGAGCAAAGAACCAAGTAGGAAATACATTTTCGATTTTGGACTAGGGGCGACCCTAGTCAAAATCAATTTTCTCACTTTTTTCTTCGAGGGTTTATCCAAATGGATTAAAGCTTTGCATAAATATTCAAGTGCTTAAAACAAATACAAATAAAACATCCTAAAATTTTTTTGAGCAAAGAACCAAGAAGGAAATACATTTTCAATTTTGGACTAGGGGTGACCCTATTCAAAATAAATTTTCTCACTTTTTTCTTCGAGGGTTTATCCAAATGGATTGAAACTTTGCATAAATATTCTAGTGCTTAAAACAAATACAAATAAAACATCCTAAAATTTTTTTGAGTAAAGAACCAAGTAGGAAATACATTTTCGATTTTGGACTAGGGGCGACCCTAGTCAAAATCAATTTTTTCACTTTTTTTCGAGGGATTATCCAAATGGATTGAAACTTTGCATAAATATTCTAGTGCTTAAAACAAATACAAATAAAACATCTTAAAATTTTTTTGGTCAAAGAACCAAGAAGGAAATACATTTTCAATTTTGGACTAGGGGTGACCCTATTCAAAATAAATTTTCTCACTTTTTTCTTCGAGGGTTTATCCAAATGGATTGAAACTTTGCATAAATATTCTAGTGCTTAAAACAAATCCAAATAAAACACCTTAAAAATTTTTTGAGCAAAGAACCAAGTAAGAAATACATTTTCAATTTTGGACTAGGGGCGACCCTAGTCAAAATCAATTTTCTCACTTTTTTCTTCGAGGGTTTATCCAAATGGATTGAAACTTTGCATAAATATTCTAGTGCTTAAAACAAATACAAATAAAACATCTTAAAATTTTTTTGAGCAAAGAACCAAGTAGGAAATACATTTTCGATTTTGGACTAGGGGCGACCCTAGTCAAAATCAATTTTCTCACTTTTTTCTTCGAGGGTTTATCCAAATGGATTAAAGCTTTGCATAAATATTCTAGTGCTTAAAACAAATACAAATAAAACATCCTAAAATTTTTTTGAGCAAAGAACCAAGAAGGAAATACATTTTCAATTTTGGACTAGGGGTGACCCTATTCAAAATAAATTTTCTCACTTTTTTCTTCGAGGGTTTATCCAAATGGATTGAAACTTTGCATAAATATTCTAGTGCTTAAAACAAATACAAATAAAACATCCTAAAATTTTTTTGAGTAAAGAACCAAGTAGGAAATACATTTTCGATTTTGGACTAGGGGCGACCCTAGTCAAAATCAATTTTTTCACTTTTTTTCGAGGGATTATCCAAATGGATTGAAACTTTGCATAAATATTCTAGTGCTTAAAACAAATACAAATAAAACATCCTAAAATTTTTTTGGGCAAAGAACCAGGAAGGAAATACATTTTCAATTTTTGACTAGGGGTGACCCTATTCAAAATAAATTTTCTCACTTTTTTCTTCGAGGGTTTATCCAAATGGATTGAAACTTTGCATAAATATTCTAGTGCTTAAAACAAATACAAATAAAACATCCTAAAATTTTTTTGAGCAAAGAACCAAGTAGGAAATACATTTTCGATTTTGTACTAGGGGCGACCCTAGTCAAAATCAATTTTCTCACTTTTTTTCGAGGGATTATCCAAATGGATTGAAACTTTGCATAAATATTCTAGTAATTAAAACAAATACAAATAAAACATTCTAAAATTTTTTTGAGCAAAGAACCAAGTACAAAATACATTTTCAATTATGGACTAGGGGCGACCCTAGTCAAAATCAATTTTCTCACTTTTTTCTTCGAGGGTTTATCCAAATGGATTAAAGCTTTGCATAAATATTTTAGTGCTTAAAACAAATACAAATAAAACATCTTAAAATTTTTTTGGTCAAAGAACCAAGAAGGAAATACATTTTCAATTTTGGACTAGGGGTGACCCTATTCAAAATAAATTTTCTCACTTTTTTCTTCGAGGGTTTATCCAAATGGATTGAAACTTTGCATAAATATTCTAGTGCTTAAAACAAATACAAATAAAACATCCTAAAATTTTTTTGAGCAAAGAACCAAGTAGGAAATACATTTTCAATTATGGACTAGGGGCGACCCTAGTCAAAATCAATTTTCTCACTTTTTTCTTCGAGGGTTTATCCAAATGGATTAAAGCTTTGCATAAATATTTAAGTGCTTAAAACAAATACAAATAAAGCATCTTAAAATTTTTTTGGTCAAAGAACCAAGAAGGAAATACATTTTCAATTTTGGACTAGGGGTGACCCTAGTCAACATCAGTTTTCTCACTTTTTTCTTCGAGGGTTTATCCAAATGGATTAAAGCTTTGCATAAATATTTTAGTGCTTAAAGCAAATACAAATAATCCTAAAATTTTTTTTAACAAAGAACCAAAAAGGAAATACATTTTCAATTTTGGACTAGGGGTGACCCTAGTCAAAATCAATTTTCTCACTTTTTTCTTCGAGGGTTTATCCAAATGGATTGAAACTTTGCATAAATATTCTAGTGCTTAAAACAAAAACAAATAAAACATCTTAAAATTTTTTTGGGCAAAGAACCAGGAAGGAAATACATTTTCAAATTTGGACTAGGGGTGACCCTATTCAAAATCAATTTTCTCACTTTTTTTTTTCGAGGGTTTATCCAAATGGATTGAGACTTTGCATAAATATTCTAATGCTTAAAACAAATACAAATAAAACATCCTAAAATTTTTTTGAGCAAAGAACCAAGTAGGAAATACATTTTCAATTTTGGACTAGGGGCGACCCTAGTCAAAATCAATTTTGTCACTTTTTTTTCGAGGGTTTATCCAAATGGATTGAAACTTTGTATAAATATTCTAGTGCTATAAACAAACACAAATAAAACGTCTTAAAATGTTTTTGAGCAAAGAACTAAGAAGGAAATACATTTTTA